TTAGACTCTTCGATGTGGGCGGTCAGCGTTCGGAACGGAAAAAGTGGATCCACTGTTTCGAGGACGTCACAGCAATCATCTTCTGTGTGGCCATGAGTGAGTACGACCAGGTGTTGCACGAGGACGAGACCACGAACCGGATGCAGGAGTCGTTGAAGCTCTTCGACTCCATTTGCAACAACAAGTGGTTCACCGACACCAGTATAATCCTCTTCCTGAACAAGAAGGACCTATTTGCGGAGAAGATCAAACGCTCGCCTCTCACCGTCTGTTTTCCCGAGTATCCTGGTAAGTTGCCAGCCCTTCTTTCCTATCGCAGGGTCTTACTGCTAAGCAAATTTTGACACGAAGCTTTGGGTTCATCGTCACATGCTTTTCTATGCACGCATTACTGCTGTTTTTCACCGCCTTGAATAATGTCGACTTAAATGACTTAAGCATGTCGTGCGCCGACTCTGCTTAATAGGGCACGTGACGGTTTCTACTGCTTGTAATACTGTCCTATTAGCATCCCTTTTTGTACCTGACGGATTGGTAGTACTAGTTTGGACTGAACACGTTAAATTATCTGCCTCCACAGTGCTAGAAGCCTTGTTCTTTCCAAGGCCAGGGTGCGACCAGTAGGTGTCCCTCCAGACCAGTCGTGAAGCGGGTTTGATGACGTTGACTCTGATCGTACTGTTTTATGTAATTTTAGGCAAACAGACGTACGAGGAGGCGGCAATTTACATTCAGGCTTCTTTCGAGGCAAAGAACCGGTCGCAAAACAAGGAGATTTACTGCCACCAGACCTGCGCCACTGACACCAACAACATTCAATTCGTCTTTGACGCCGTCACCGACGTGATCATCGCCAACAACCTGAGGGGCTGTGGTCTCTACTAGCCTCCCCTCTCTCCCCCTCGCACCTGCCCTCTTTTTTCGTTTGTCTGAATGTGTATAGAGAAGAATAAAAAGGAGGAGGCCCATGCCACTAACTGCAACCGCTCCGCCTATATAATCTCGTTCCACCATCGGCTTTGTCTGCATTTCCTTCATGTGTGTGTGTGAATTCACGCATTTCACTTCTCTTTTGGTCTCCCCTGTCTCCTGACTGACCATCCTTGATGCCACTTTTTTTTAAAATGTGATAGTCCTGAAATTCGCTATTTGAAGTTGGTCTTATTTTGTGCTTGATGGGCGTGCTGGCAAGTTGGATGAAAGGTTTTTTGCCGTGTTTGGCAGAACAGATGCTTTTAGACACTACAAACATTTATTGGGTCTTTGTTCACATTTCGAGTTTCCTCGATGTTTGCCGCCAGAATGAAGTTTAGTAGGAAGCGGAGCTCCATTCTAGATTTCACCTTGGGAGTTATTATTGTTAATGTGGAACATTATTTGGTCGGATGGGGTGTCTCTGTTCCGCACTGCCAGTTGGAAGGTTTGTAAACCCTCTCGGCGAGAGCAAGGAGAATTTTCGTGGGAAACGGTTGTTTAGGCCATCTCTGAGCTAACTAACTGAGCGAACTAACCTCCGCCTCATTGTTGCCTTCCTCTGTGACTGTCTACTCCCGAAACGATTTCAAGCCTCTACTCCCGTGTTATTTTTTACCGGCTTTAACATTCGCCCTGCGCATACTTTGTTAAACTTAAGACCGATGTGATTAAACACGAAATGTTTATTTAGGCTTCGTGCAATACCTTTGTTGTTCTGTTTGCGGTAGTTGTTTCCAGGGTTCTCTTTTCCTTTCTCATGGTCATGGCTTTAGTCGACTGGTCGCTCAGAGGGATCTGCATCTTGCACTTCGGTGCGGTGCCTTTGAAACTTTTTAAATGAATTCACAGGCTCCTCCACGAACCGGGAGCGGTTAATTCGTTTCCTCCGGCACATCCGAATGCAAAAGCGTCGACGTAGATTTATCACTCACCCCTCTTAAGACGTTGATTCTACTAAATGTCCGACGGTGGATTTTCCAGACGGAAGTTGTTGTGCCATATTTTCAGACACGACAAATTACCACCCCACCTCACCTCCCCCTCCTGCCTTTATCTTTTCAAGGAGAATTATAAACTGCTGTCAATAATTTTTAATGCGCCCTTTGTAGGAAAAAAAACTAACCAAATGATTCATCAAGGCTTATAACTTAAACCAGAATACCGTCAATTTGCCAATTGAAAATGTTTTTTTTTTTCGGGCTGTCTATTCGTTACAATGATATGCCCTTAAGCTTTGGAAGAAGCAAAATCAGCGGTATTTTTAAGGTTCGATTATTACTATTGGGTGATCGAAAAGTTTGTACGGTATAGGGACTATAAAGTATGGGTCTGATGAGTCAGCCTGTTAATAACGGGACTTCTTGTACCCCATACAACAATAACAATTGGTGGTTGGAACTAATGGGTGTGATTCAGCTAGATCCCAGAGCCTTCCCGTGAAATTGGAGAAGGTATCGTAGTCCAATATGCTGCTCAGAAATGGTTTAGAAAACATACTTTTGGCAGTAAGTCACTCAAAGGTAGATGAAACACCTTGGGGAGGAGGAACCTCCATTGCTAAAAAGGAAGAATTCCATGCCGTTGCTGAGATATTTCGCTCCGTGATCAGCCTACACCAACTTGGAAGGTTGTGAAAGTCAAACACATGGATCTTGCCCGTGTATATTTACTGGTGACAATAAGCCTTACCAACTACTTATTTGTAAAATACTTTGACTATTCGTTCTGCTCTTCGTTTTGGTTTCGTGGGCACTTAAGGCTCCACCATTGTACTTCCACCAGGCGGCATGGCCCCGCCCTCCCCCCCAGCCCTTCTGTGCGTAAATGATACATATTCTGACCTAGCGTTATGGATTCTTTCATCTTCAGAAAAGACTCATGACATTGCGTTTGTTCTGCAATGTTCCCCTTCACGTTGAAAAATACACTGATGTCATACGCTTTTCTAACTTGAGGCAATAAGTGGTTTTTTTTGTTCTAAAATTACTTTCAATTACCAGATCATTTGCCGTCTTTAAGCAGACGGATTGTCAACAAAGAAAGCTTTATTTGCCAAATGCCAACAAATTACGTCAATGTTTAGTTTGCCATTGTCTCTAAAGTAAATAGTGGCATTTACACCACTGCCGTTTGAGTTCTGTCTTGACATTCTACTGGCTGTCTGGGCTTGACAGAATCGACCAACCAGGCGGTGAAATTTGCCAACAGCTCCCCCTACAGCCGTGTTAAGAGCCGCCCGCCGTAGACCAATCGGCTCAAAATACCCTTTCACATTCACCATGGCGACCGAAAACATTCAAAAACGTCCTCTCCAAGCGAACATCTCATCACCTACGCCTGCATTCGACGTCTATCACATCGCAGTGCTGGATCGCATACGTTGCAAAGAGCCCTGTCATGAACACCCTGAAGGCATGTCAAATCCCTCCACTTGCACCAGTAGTCAAACGAAGCTTGTCAAAGTTCAATAATGTAAAAACGCTTCTTACTTGACGTTGGGTCGCGAATCTTGCGTCAATCCTATAAGACACTCTGAAGAAGCTTTAAAAAGATTTTCGTGCGTCCTACCCTCACATTCCATCTGCTGGGGGTTAGATTTGTTACCTCCAAATTCTGCTTACCTGGATACCTTTTGAAGGCAACGCGACTAACTGTAGCACCTCAACTCTTCCTCGAAGTTATAATAAGCCAGAGTTGCGTGACAGACTGCAGACTACAAGCGTCTGGAAGAGTTTCAACGCCACTGGCTCAGCACAAAGGCCGCACCGTCGAGTGAAAACACAACCTGCAGAGACCATAGTGCCCACGAGAGCAAGCAAACATTTAGACTAAATGTCAAATCGCCATGTCAACATATAAAGGAACCCCATGACACCGTTATGACTTTTAAATGCAACTTTTGCAATTAGAATGTGTGGAATGCATTGGTTGTTTGTTTACCACACAGATTTTGCCTGCACCAATGTATTTTCGTCGGGTGGGCTGGCATCCGGACCTAACCAGTAACCCCAATCCCTTCTGTATGTCCAATATATCTATTTGGCTCAAGTATTGTGGCTTCTATCGTATTTAGGAAAGTCCTGGGGTACCGAATTTGTGGTAGTGGAAAGCGAATCCGATCCTGAAAACTAGAAGGGCTGAAATTGGCGTCTGCCTTCAGCAACTAGCCCAGTAGCGTGATCCATCTAGAAAGGTTAGTTACAGAGCTGTCTACCGTACCTGTAAGAAGATAGTAATTGTGCGAACTCGCAATACCTCCGCCACTACCTTACTAGCTGGATGGAACCCCCGTAGATATGGCTGGGCAGCACTGGAGCTAGATAAAAGTGGCAAGGAGGAATGGACACGAAATCCTACCCGCACAAAAGTGCTTTAAATACTGTGCCTCGTTAAATGATTCCACTTTTAGGCCAGTGTTCCTACGACCGGCGATGGACATGCGTGATGTCCAGCACATTCCCTCACCTCCCAGTGCAGCGCCCATACAGGATAAAACTCCAGGTCCTGTAGAAATGCCAAAGGGGGATCAGGGACGTTGCGGTCAACTATCTTCTCAGGTGCAAGTTGCATGGCTGGCACGATTGGCTTGTGAGTGCTTTGCTGACGCGGAAGGTTGACCAAGGGGGAGCGCCGAGGATGACTCTCAAAGAGGGAAGGGGCTGTGTAATAGGTTGATTGTCTGTCTAAGCCTCGGTTACGGTAAAGGGACCACTTTGGGTCTCTGCTATTGTACCCTCGCTGAGTAAGCTGATCTCCCGATCTGCTAGTAGCCCAAAACCCTACTGTATGTCAATAATGCATATCTTACCCCAGCATTATCTTCTTTTGTCTTCAGGGAAGTCGGGGAGCACTATGCGTAAACGCTACATAAAAGCGGCGCTCAATAAAGACGGTAGTACAACCAACCTTAAAATGTGATTTTGAAACAAATTTTTGGTATTCCAATTTATAGGAGGTCACGTAACTTAAAATATCATTGAAAAAACTTACCGAACACTTAAAGCTTTAAACATCGAAAGTCCACAAACAAATGGAACTCGTTTTCTTGTCTGGCTGTCTTTTTCGAAATACAAAATGACGCATGTAGATTTCAAACCTGACCTTTTATTAGTCTTATTTCCTATTTCATAAGGCCATTCTTTGCGCATAACATAATTATATCGGATGCATAAAATTTTGTTTAATTCAATGGAAGAGTCTACTTATTAACTTTCAGTAACAAAGCCCGGAGTATAGAGAGAGCAAATTGAACCAACCCGCTTTTTGGTAGGCATTGAAATGACAAATTCAAATACCAAACCTTATAATATCAAACCCCTTTATCAAAAAACCTGTCAGAAAATTTGTAAGTAAGGGTCTTTTCATGTAGCGTGTTACTGCAAAACAATCAGAACTCAGAAGTAACTAACGACGAAAACATATTCCAAGTAGTTGATTGACACCATCGGAAGTTGAGATAACAATAGAGGGCATGGAACAGATAACTTTGAATTCCCTATCTACAAAAAACTTATAAAGTGACCACTATCTCAATGTCTAAATAAAAACATTAAATTTTTATCCAAACTGCGACAAAAACGAGTGATTTAACAAGATTGTGAGCCCGCACTTTTCAGCAGAAGTTCAAATACAAATTCAATTTCAATACGCTAGAAAATGAGCTTATCTTATGCGTTTTTCTGTACAGAAGTGTAGCAAAGGTACACAAAGCAGCAGTTATGAATCTTTCACTTCCTCCGCCCTCATCTTGGCCTTCAACAGAGGTTCGCGTCGACGTCGCATGAAGTTGAGAAATTCGCCAGCCTCTCGGTAGTCGCGGTGCAACTGACTCACCCCAAACGCTGGATCCGTCAGAAAGATGTCAAAACGCGAGTCTGTCTCGTTGGCACCCGTCCACTAAAATAAGTAGTATCATAAACTGAGGCGGGGATCTACACCTGCGAGGATGTTTTTTCACGGCTTGCGTGCGCAAGCCCGAAATGGAACACCTCACTCTCACAAGCAGCCAGACAAGAACTTTGTTTGACGTCTCGGAGGAGGTTTGCGATAGACATGTAGGTTTTTTCTCAGCTAAGTCATGTCTACACTCAGTGAAGGAAGTGAGACGAGCTACAAATTAGGCGATTTTGACGAAAAAAATTCGATAGGCTATACGAAGGATCCTAGTCTTGACCATCAATGAACTAAACCGAGACCAAGGCAGTGTACGGAGGCAGCAATGGCGAGCTTAAAGTAACTATGATGGATGAGATGGTTGCGTCAATTTTAAACTATACGTAGACCATCGGTAAGGTTGCACGTTGTGTTACGATACCAACAGTGAACCGTACGAATTGAATACTCTAACTGAACGTGTCGCATATGTGTGACGGATGAGATGAGAGGAAATCGGTGCATTGAATGTATGCGACGCTGGCAGCAAACTTTAGGCCAGAAGGGATTAAAGTGGCAACTAATATTGAATTATCAAAACGGTTTGAGAACTATCTTAATCTACTCGATAGAAATTCACTCTTCAACTATGGTAATTTTATATCAACGTCAATTTTAAGTTCTTTTAAAAAGTTACTCGTGTAGAAAAACAATCCTCCTGCGTAGTTAATTGTAACGGGGAAAGAAGCATTGCTCAAGGATACAGAGAGCCAAGAGATGATGCCATTCTAACTGAATCAATGTTTTCAGTGACCCCATTAACAGCATCTCTTGGAGGGACGAAAATGAAAGTAGTGCAAGGCACGTACCAAATTCTTCACTCTCTCTTGATTTCGCTCCTGCTTCTTTTTCTTCAGTTGTGCCTTTTTTCTCTGCAAGAGAAGATAATTCGTCGTTAACTGCACTGAAGCCAAGGGATTAAGTCGGGAACAGACTGGCTTACCATAGCCAATTTTCGCTTCTTCGTCTTCTCCGATTTAGAAGCTTCGTCATCGTTGTCAATGTCACCATCAATCCTTCCCCGACTGCCGCGCCGCCTACGGGACATATCCTCGTCACTGACGTCAGACACACGGTCCTCCATATCATCAAAATCGAGACTGGAGTCGGAGTCGTCGTCAACAGCCTCTGGGAGACGTCGTTTGCCAACGGCTTTGCGTCCACCGGAAGAGGTCAACACTGCGCGCTTGCCTACCCTCTTCTGTGCGGTGTCATCGTCTTCGGCTGTCAGGTCGTACTCCTCTTCCTTCTCTTCGGATGAAGAAGCACCTTCGGGCGCGTTGAGATCGGCCACAAGTACTTCCTCCTCAGACTCGGCGTCATCATCATCAACATTGTCATCTTTCTCGTTTTCACCCGACAGTGGTTTCTGATGGGACAAAAGACACCAAGGGAAAAATTGGAAATTAAGTAAATTTTTAAAGTTGGAAACGTTGCTTCAAGGAGGATCATAGACTTGGAACCATTACACACCAAGTATCTCACCCGAAATTTGAAATGGATGAGCAGATGGATAAATAAGTAAGGGGGATCGGTTGACAGATATACTGTATGGACAAATGATATATCGAAGTGTGCTTCACCTTCAGCTCATTCTCCACCCTCTCTAAGTACGTTTTAATCCCCCAAAACGTTATTTCCGTACAATCCATTATCAAATAACCAGTTAGACGTTGGGCAATATAAATCAAACTCTCCGAGACCATAAAATGAGTGCATACTGTGATCCCACCAAAGTAAGCAAAGCCAAGACCATAAACCTCACCAGCGTATAGACCCTGGGAAAGAGAAGAATACTAAGTTGTTACCTCACCACCTACCAATTTACCAGAATAAAGCAATATTGAGGTCGTGCAGCTTTCACCACTAAGGATATTTGTTCAGCGGCGCGGTGTCCACCAATTCAAATAGATGAGCTTGTCAATTCTCTCGAGCTAGATTTTGCGCAGGAAACACACGAGAGTAACCAAGCTAGACAATTAACCACTTGTGTGTCATTCAGCTAGAATAAAGTAGTTACGAAGTGGTACCTTCGTTAATATCGACTGACTGGGCAGTGTAACAGGCAGATCTTCTAAGAGTATACGTGGGAGAAAAGCAAGTGAAAAGGACCAAGGGAACACGAACCTCAGCTGCACTGACATCTCCCTCCGAAATGGCAGAGAGAAGGGCGGCTCTCAACTCCTCAGGCGGGACTTTCTGAGGTCGGTGGCGTCTGATACGAGGCACGGTTGGTGCAGGACCCGGTTCGTCAACATCCGAGGGGGCCGCTGTGCTCTGACCACTAGAAGACAACGCCAGGTACTCACTCAACTGGAATGCACAAACAGAAGACGGGTTAAATGGGGGCAATAATTGTTCCTGGTAATGTAGCCTGCGCTTCTAGCCCTCCAGCTTTTCCTATCATCATTGCAAAGCTGTCGACTAACATCATCTTAGTACGCACGTCATTTGGAGGAACTTCGAAGTTGCCGTACTGGAAGATCGTCCAGTTCTCTGTATGTTGATAACAAACTTAAATTTCAGATGCATATTTTCACAGATAACTCGGATGTTACGCTGTGATGGTAATAGCACAATAGGATATTCTTAGCTGTATTTGAGAGTGCTACAAATGACCGCTACAATAGGTGTCTCCCGAGTAGCGCCGAAGTAGTCGCTGTTATGAGTAGTAGTGAAGACATTCGAATAGGAAGAATCGTTTAAAGACAGCATCAACACTGGGGACCACATTTGTCCTGCACCACTCCAATCGAATGAGATAATTTGGTCGCTAGACGAACGATACTCTCTGTGTACGTGTGTGTGCGACCTTGATTGTGTCGGTCATACTCCTTGTTGTCGAACCATTCCACGATTGACAAAAGATGTCTGCAAACGACCCTTAAAGCAGAACAAAGCTTTATGTCGATGGCTGTCCTATTGAGTATCGTCACCAATTGTGAAAGACTTCAATTGTGTCATTACAATGTATATCGTCGGTTTTCTGCCTATCTATCTGTCTCTCAGAACCCCGAGCTGTAGAATATATTACCCCACAGTTAAATAAACTTTACTAACTGTTCCCACTAATACTTACTGGTTGCGTTTCCATGAGTTCAAACGGCTTCATGACCACCTATTGCCTATCTGCCTTCTTTACGTCTTGTTTCCACCTACACTTTCTTGTGATGTGGCATGCCAACAAAGGGTAAAAGACTACTCACCTTTGCCTTGCCCTCGGAAAAGAGTTTGCGCGGTTCCGCTTCGGCCTCAAATTGCTCGCGAAGCCATTGGGTGCGGGCTGCAGGCGTGCAATCCCAGCCCAGAGCGATGCGAGTGGAGTGAAGGGCAGAGTTCTCGAATACCCGTGGCTTATACTTGGCCCGATTTACCTCACAGCATTCGCTCACCACGTGCGACCACTCGTTTGGCACCTTGAGCACGCAGAATAGACGGTTAATTTGAACGATACAAGTTACAAGCAGAAGTTTTCACCAAAATGGCACCTTGAGTTACTAAATCACACTCACTTCGTGGCTATTCACTCGATAAGGCGTGACAAATAAACACGGCTGCCCACTAGGACATCACCGTGTTCTGCGTAGGTCGCGCGCCTAAATTAGTGAGAATAGGTTGCTGGCCCTGAACCATGTCCAATGTCTTTGTCAACCTCAATTCCGCGTCCTCAAGGGTACACAGGCATCAATAGTGTAAAAAGTTCCAAGGCCGCTACCTTCGCGGACCTAATGTCAAAAAGCCAGCTGTAATGCGACCTAAAGCAAGCTCAAATCAAGATTCGCCAGCCCGGGATAGAGTCCGGGGTCTTAAAACGTATAGAAGCCATAAAGATTTTGGGGAAAGCTCAATAACTTGGAGAAAGTTCCACCAAATCTAATCGTGACATTCGTCTACATCATCGCGTTTCTCTAACCAACTAGACACCAAACGAAATTACACCGATTCGTCACCCACCGTAATAGTCAGTCCTCTTAATGAGATAGCTCTCAAAAAACACACAATCTGCATCATTCCAGCTGAACCCCAAAGAACAGGTGATATATGCAAAATAGCTCAGCTTCACCGAACCTGTGTGAAGCTTCCCTCTTGCCGTTTGCCCAATTGCTATGGTTTCATCCAAAACTTCCATGCAACCATAGCCAACTATGACGAAGATCATGCCTGACTGATATATTACCTCAAATTATAGGCGAGGCTTCCGAAATCATGCGCCCCTGCGCTGCCCTAGAACCTGGAATCCTGGAACACCGTTTTGGAGAAAAGCATGTTATCGCCAAATCTGTATAGACTAGTCGGTGGATGAATCGAGCCTCAAGTCCTACATCACAAAAGCGCTGATCCAATCGGCTGATGACATGAAGCTACTTTGAATCAGTCCATCAGCCAGACCCGTACATCTTTAAAACTATAATTGCAGGCTTTTTCAAAAAAGTACACTAACTGAAGAACAGGCGGTTTAAAGGGTTTTACCCCATTATAAAAGCATAACGCAAGCCGAGTTGCGATGGATAGCCACACTTTATTAGCGACAAGGGCGTCACTAACCTTACTGACCTAGCTTATACTCCACGATGGAAAGCATACACCAGCGATCGAGACGAAATGCAAGCACTAAGAAGGCGATTTCGAAGGAACACAATACTAGATAACCCTAGCTAGACTTTGGGGAGGTTACTAACCTTGTGGAAGAGTTTAGAAGCTCACGAATCAAAGGTTGTGTGGAATCAACGCCTGAAGGAGAGCAAAACTGGGTTGGATGGGACACATGAAAAGGTGCAACACACGATTACTTTTTAGGAGTGCCTTTGAGAGCTACAAGCGATAAAAATATCCAGGTTCCGCGTTGGATATGCCTTGCAGAACATCTGCACCCATTCGATGATGCACCAGAGCCGCATAAGTATTGTACTTTATGTACCACTCGTCATCAATTGTGGGAAAATTGATTGTTCATTACTTTTGGCGAAGCCGGGTAACATCGATAACAGCGACCAGTATTCCACATTGGGAATTTGTGGGAGCTGTTGTATCCGTTAAGGCAGTCACCCTCCAAAACAGCTCCTTATAGCTGCATCATCAAAAAGCCTCTCGAAGACCTTCCTGTTACACCTTACAGTAAAAACAGCTACACACTTCAAGATTGTTGCTGCCAGATCATTTGGAACCAGAGCACTGGCAGCATGTGAAGAGTGGACGCGATTCGGCGAACCTTGCACGCAGAGGCTCGAGTTTCTACGCCGTATACATGCTGGATGGCTCTGCAGCCTACCTGCTTGAGCAGTAAGGGTGAATGCTGCCCATGTGAGGGATAATGAAGGAGCGTGAATCCATAAGTTCAACCTTATTAGTAGCTGGTTATACTTGTGAAAAATCGCTTGGTCTAATCGATTCTGTCTGTGGCCGCAGTAGACATGTAACAAGGCCGCGTCCATATCCGAGTTCAGGAACCATTTGAGACCCGGAGAAAGGTGTGTCACGACTAATACGAGAAGATGGCTTCCATGAAGAACTAAAACAATCTAATTACAAAGCAGGGTCGCCAAACGAGCTTCAAACCATACTTGACCGATTTAAGAGAATTACTTCCTTCAACTTCAATGCCTTTTACGCGAGGGTAGATGTATACTCTGGCCAGCCTTTTCTTTGACGTAAAAGTGTTTAGTAATCCTCGTCAGAGACCACTTCGTCACACAGCTCCCCGTCAAGCAATTTCATGAGATAAATAAGCACCCCAGGGCTCTGCAAGATTGGCCACTCAAGTGCCCATATGTTTCTTACTTGAGTATGCCAGTTTTTTATAATTAGAATCACGATGAGCAAAATAAACGCTATCTCATCACGGTTTCTACCCTCGTCATGTCTAAAAGCCAATGAGACTAACATCAAAAGACGGTGTTGCTGAATCGCTACCGGTTAAAATCGAGAATTCATCCATTAGTTCTAACATAGTTCTGTTATTTTACTGAGATAAGACGACAAGTGACTTTAATAGACCTGGATAATACAAGAACAGGAACAATTTTTAAAAATCACCTCTCTGTAACTCAACGCGTACATATAGGTAATCAAAGAACTAATTAACTCCACAATCTACAGGCGGACAAGGTATACAACGAGCTTTATTAAAATCACTGAGAGTATGAAAGGTGAATATACCACTTACATGTCCCACATCTTTTGAAATAACTTAGGCAATTACTTGTACTAAGAAAATACTGAAATTTACCGAAAACTCTTCCTCATCATTGACAAATCTGAGATCGAAGCGAATGCCAGTGCTACCATACTCTACGCCATCACAGGCCTCGTAGACAGTAGCCGCGGTCTCCTTAGAATCAAACTCTGCTATGGCATAAAAATACTTAAGACGCTGCAGTTGGTACCGTCGCAAACGCCGTCTCATCCGCACAGAAGTCAACTTCCACGCCTTCCTCTCATCAGCATCCATATCCGTCGGCAATTTCTGATTTAAGGCCCTCTCTTCCTCACCCTCTTCACCCTCACTGTCTGCCCAGATGTCACGCGGTCCATGCTTTTCTTCTTCCGCCATTTTCCGCATCCCATACTCCGAGGGGTATATCTACAGAAAATTGAGCGGTTACATTCCCGAAAACCAGTGATATTCGTCAGCAAAAAATGGAACGCACAGTAACTTTTTCTAAACACGCCCCAGGTGGAAGGAATGACTCCAAAGCTAGGAAGATAGTCTCAGCGTTGGAGTTGTCCCAGTCAAAGTGAAGAACAGCCAGCCTACGTGTTGCATCCTCTACTTCTTTTGCGTCCTTCACCAACTCATACCAATCAGCGTCTAAAATTCAATCCGATTACGCAATTTAAGACCTAAAGTGGAGGCGTAATTACCTTGTAAGTCAGCAAGACTTTCCTCTACAGCTTCGCCTCCAGAATCAGAGGAATCGCTATCCGAAACCTCTGATGAGTCAGATTCTGATTCAGTATCCTCGGGCTCTTCTTCCACCTCCTTTTTCTCCTTCTCAATTAGCTGTTTTGCGTACTTGAGTGGTCGACTTGACCACGGTCGACCTCGCTTGTCCTTAAAGGATCCCTCCTCCTCGAGACCTTCAAAAAGGTTTTTAAAGGCCTCCTTTTCCTTCTTAGTTTTCTTCTTCAATCGCCCTGAAAACCTAGGATCCCGAGAAATCTTATTCAGCTCGACATCATCCATTGCACAATTAGCCGCAGGCTACCCTCCTAACACACGCCGCAAGGCAGACGAAAACTCGCCGCGGTTAAGATCAACTATAACAATTGAGGGTCCATAGTAGACATTGATGTATTGACGAAATTCCTTCATACATGCGGGATTAATATACATCCGTGTTTATCTTATACATCATTAGAAGTTGATAACGGCATTTAGGCAAGAACTGAACTGGCAGCTCGTAATTGTCTGTGTGTGCAGAGTTAAATTTAAATAAGGATTCAAAACAAGGACATTTTACAGAAATTATTATAAAAATTGCGTAAAGTTCCCTTACTTTGTCAGTTTAAAAATATGACAAGTTTTTCGAATGTAACGCGAAAGTTTGTTTAGCTGCATTAATCGTGTTAGCATGATTGAATGTGGTTTTGTTATGCTGTAACTTGAAGCACTTCATAATAAATAGCTGAGGGGTGCTTTATCATTCCTTTTGTTTGCTGGCGTTAACACTGCCTTCAGCCTTGCCACCAACTTGAGTGTGTGCATGAACATTCCCATGGGGTGCTAGTTCCTAAATTCTTTTTGAGTCCCTCAGCTCCGCACGACCAAGGCTAGTCAGGCTCTTAATTATAATGGAATCTGACTAATTCAGTAGAATCGCCTATCTTTCGTTTAAAAAGTAAGGACGTTAGACACTTGGAACTGCTCAATTTTCCCACCGGAGGCCTGCATTTGATAGCCAATTTCCGGGAATGCCTCATCCCTTCCCTTGCACTTCTTGTGATATCAAATTTGATCGCTCTGGTTATCCATTGATGCATTTAAAATTTTAGAAGAACATAGGATAGCTTTTTCAGCCAACTTTATTCATGCGGATATTTTATCTGAGAAAGTACTCTCTCTCAAGTCCACCGCATATGGCTTTAATTTGCGGTTCAATCTTCTCTAAATTTTTAATTAAGTTGCATTGTTATTTAGTCATCGCCGTATGCTTGCCTTACTGAATACAAATGGGTAGAGAGGGTTGTGATAACCACCTGTCTGCAGTCAAAGCGTCTCCTCGCCAAATGATTTTAAATAAGCAAAATCTTTTATGCTCTCAGGTGGATTGAAAACTGAGTGCTAAAGGAGTTAGAGTGACAGTGATGTTTTTGTGTTGCGTCACAGCAAGTTCAGTTTTTCCTTTTCTTTCCTTCTTAGGTAATGCATTTGCCTACATACGAGTAGAGATGCGGCATGTCTGTAGTACGCACTTTGCTTCGCTCATTAGCCCTTACTTTTATCATAATAAAATGAGTACTTCTAGCTATTTTCGCTCTGTAAATGGCTGAATTTTAGGCAAATACTTTCACGCTGTTTAGCGGCCAACTTTTGGTGCCAATTTCTTTTTTGGAGCGTAACAGAATGGGCTAAAGATGCTTAATTATTTTAAATATAATCCTTTAGGTCTTAACATCCCAAAAATATTTTATTATGAGTAATTGAAATGAAATTATCCATTCAATTAGTGCTAGAGTGCATCCTAACAGCCTCCATGTTATTTCCTCTCGTCGCCTTTCAGATCCATTTACTACTGTGCTTACATCATAATTATCTGTAGATTTGTATTACCCTAACATTACTTCAAAATATGCAACGCTGCTGGTGAATTTGCAGATTGTTGCACAACAGTGTAAAATAAACAAAGTTCAGTTAAGTAGAAAGCGATGAAGAGGTAGTGTATACTGTAGAATTCTACGGTGTGAATGCTGTAACTCCTGGCGATGACTTCTGATGGCTGTGTTTTGGATGCTGTCCTGCACTTTAGTCAAAAAGACAGCTGACCCAGGCAGTAAATCTTGCTTTATACTTATTTTGGTGGGATGTGTACCCCAGAGGCCCAGCTTCTAGGCTGGCTCTTCCAATTTTGAGGTCGTACTGGGGAACGCGCAATCTCCCCCTGATGTGGAAACGCCTAAATCAATTAATTGTGGTGCTTGTTTCCGCTCGTGACTTTATCACCTTATTTTTGAGAAAGTGACAAGCTGGTTGAGTCATGACCCCTTTAAGTAGGCTAATAGGCGCCAGGTTACACACGCTCCCACCCCACCTTGAATGTCCGTCAATAATTTGGGCTTTTACCTAAACCAATTATGCACTCTTGTCAATTCTCACCAGAATTGCTAGCCTTTATACAGCAGTAAAACCCGCGCGTTCTCAAGACTATAAATGTGATGAAAAACCCTTCTGTCAAAAAGATGACAGTGCCTCTGCATGTGTACAAGGGTAACAAAATCACTCTCCCTCCCATCACATGGGGAGTTTATATTAGCGGATTTCTAGCAGTTACAAAAATTGTTAAATTAACAAATCTACTGAGCATGCTGTCAGTGACATGGCTCACGCTATACCCAGCGTCGATTGTCTTCTAACTACCTTGACAATAAATCACACATACACACGCACACAACTGTCTTGCGGTGGACTTTAAATCATGCCAACAGTCAGGTGATCTATGACGCGGCAATTTTGTACTCTCCAGTAGGCGTACGCCCACGAGATTTTAAGCAAGGCAAATTCAATATATGCGAGTGAGCAAAGAGAAGCAGTCCACTGCTTGCCCGCGTCCGCCCCCCCCCTCCCCTCCCTATCCCACCTGGCGGTGGGGCCTGACCAGCCAATGCCAATCGATCGATAAATCAATAGGATCAGCATGCAATGCAGAGGCAGAGAGAGTGTAGACTTCTGCCGACGGCCTACTTATATGAGGCACTTGTTAGTAGTCTGTGTGTGTGGGGAGGGGGATGGCGAAGGACCGACTGCACACAGTGATGGGGATGGAGGCGTTACTGCTACACAAGCAGGAGTGAGGATTCCCTCTACCACCGTGGCAGCAGTAGTAGTGGTAGTAGTAGTGTGATAGGCACATAAGGCTGATTCACGCTAGACGGGACGCACCACACCAACACAACGATAAGCCTCTGCTATGGATTCAATCGACTATTGGTTTGCGTCGAGAGACGTGAGACTAAAAACGGAAAATGAAATAAATATTTTAATTTTAGCCAAACGCTCAAGTGTTTTTATAAAATTTTAACTCACAATGTAGAGTTTATTAAACTAAACAATATTATTTAACTATAATTTTAATTAATTAAAAAGGCTTTGAGTAATTTTGAAGAAAGTGTAGTTCGTTCAAATGAAGTACGCAAGGTGAATGACCACGTTTGCTCACTGATAGCGTAGTTGTGCCAGACAAATTTTTCTAATCTAACTATTCAAGCTGTTTTTATTTTGCATATTTATTTATCGTTTAATATATATATAATAAACAAAAGTTTTAATCAAATATTTACGTGTAAAATTAAATTTGCTTTTGATTAATATCAAAATTTATGGTACTTGTGAGTCAACTTATGCGGTCGAGCTACATCTGTGTTATGCGTCCGCAGGCGGACTTCTGACAGGCTGGTGGTCTCTGCAACCAAGCTATCTAGTTGTTTCAAATAGCTCCGTGCCGTGTATGAACCCTCGAACGAGAAACTGGTCGCATTCACTGTGTGCCGTCGCTGTAGTTTATCACGTGTGTCGTAGCAGTAATGCCACGCTTTGCCATATGCCTCGCGTATCGCCTCTAGTTCGGACTCGGACCTGGCACCTACAGCATTTGTACTGCGAGAGAGGAAATATTTTTAATTGCCTAACCCCTTCCTTATATGGATTACAGTGCGTGTTAATTTACTCCATCACGAAAGCCAGCGGATTTATTAGATGAGCTTCCAGAACACCCAGAACGGCTCAATGAGCACCCAACAGGGTTACATGACAAATCCCCCACCTACGACTCCCTCCAATGGCTCCCAGTTCCCCTCGGAGTGTGCGAATCAATTTCGTGGACACCCCTATCAAGCTTATCCGAATCAGGAGTGTCCCCCCGATATGCCTGCTTCCAATGTGGCTGTCAGTCAATCGGGTCATGGACAGGCCTTGACATTGAACCAGTTGCTCCTCCAAAACAATTCTCCAGGCCCTCAGCCGCCTCGTGTATCGGGACCGATATCGCCCATGGGCCAACCGGGCGGATTTAGGTATGATCCCTACGGATATATGCCCAAATCCGGTCCTTCTGGTCAACAGCAGGACGGAAATCAGGTAAATATCTCTCGAAATTCCATAAATTAACTATTTGGAAATTTGGTTATTTCATACGGTTATTTCATACCCGTTTCGGCAGTATAGGTTTTGTAAATCATATCAAAATGCCTTATTTTAACAATTAAATCTATCTGTACAACGAAAAGTGTCAGAGAAAGTTAATTTCAAACCAAAAAGCATTGTAACGTTGTGTAACTTCTTGCTGATTCTGTGCCAAAGCGTAAAGAATCAACTCAAGGAAGAATATGGAACGTTTAATATGTAAGTTAGTTGTTAAGGAACTGAGTTTTTTTGATAAGGTAGTTTTTGAGTACGAGTTAGCAAGGTTTAAATTCACTAGTAGGAATCAGTGCACTTTGTTTAAACTGCCGTACTGCAAGTCAACACATCGCTTGCGTGTGTATGTGCGGATAAGCGTGAAAATCCGGTTCATTTTATTTCACAGCCTCTAAGCGGCCCTCCAATATCACTGAAGGATCCTGCTACACAAGAAAGTTTGTTGCGGTCGTCTCGTGCCAACACGCCACAGGAAGGTGCTCCTGATATGCGCAGTCCCGTCTCACAGCCTGATCAGCAACAACAGATGGACTCCATGCCCAAATCACAGCCGAATCGAACTCCCGGTGGTCCCTCACCCCTTCCCGGCTACGGTCCGGGGATGCCTCAAGATACCAGAATGAATCCGGGCATGGTACGACCCGGTGTCATGGGCCCCGGTGCCTTCCCACCTCGTTCCAGCTATCCACCTGAATACGGACAGGATCCCTATGCGCCCTACCCTCTCCAACGATACCCCCCGCCGCCGCAATCCTCACGCTATCCCGCTCCTGGTGGTGGCTACTCCATGATGCCCCCTCCACCACCTCCTACTTCCTCCGGTTACCCTCCTCCTCCACCGGCTGAATACCAGAAGATGTGGCCTTACATGATGCCCGATCATCCAAACTACCCTCGCCCCTATCACCCCGATATGTATTCGCGGGGCGGTGGCGGCTACCCTCAACCGCCTCCCATGTCCAACGGCCTCTCCTCACCTCGTGGGCCCACCATGCGGTACCCCCATCCGCCTATGGGTAGCATGGAAAGTGTCGTACCTCCATCTCAACCACCGAATTCTCAGCAGGATCAATCGCCTGGTAACTTTCCGCCCTCACAGCAAACGAATAGGGCCGATTCAAGAGGTCAGTTCGCTCGTGTAGTGCGATTTTTCTCCGGCTTGTGTCTCACCCATTATTTTCGCCTTCGTAGATGAAGCGATGTCGTCGCGAATCTCCTGTTCAAATGAACAGACGCCGACGTCTTCTGCTCCTCCTGGTGAAGTTATCCCTTTACGACCGCCTTCGTCATCATTGGCTTCTGTTCGAACTGGACCTCCACCGTCTCCCAAGAAGGAGGACGATCAGCAGCACCAACAGCAACCACCACCCCAAAACGCGATGCCTCAGCATCACCAGTTCATGATGCAGCAGCAGCAACAGCCTCAGATGCACCCGATGTATCGTCAGGGGCAGAATCGCATGCCGCCCAGGGGTCCACATCCTGGAGGGGCCTACGGTTATCCGGGTTACCCTCCCAACTTTCCTCAACAGCCTCAACAACAACAATATCCACCTCAGCAGCAACAGCCCTACTCTGGTGGCGGGGGTGGTGACATGTCTCCAAACGCCATATACCACCAACCTCACCCGCAGCCTTCCTACGGACATCTACAACAGCAAAGTGGCGGACCACCGCCACAGTATCCTTATCATCGGGGCTACCCACCACAGGCGGCTCCTCCTCCGCCCCAGTCCATGCATTCAATTGCGCCGCCGCCCAACCTAAGCCCGCAGTCGGCCTCGTGTTTCTCGCGTCTGATGGAAATGGGCTACGAGCCGGACCGGCGTCAGTGGCTGGAACACTACTTTTTCTTCATGGAGGAGATCAATAAACCCCTCACCGGTTTACCGCAGGTGGTGAAGCAGCCGCTTGATCTCTACCGCTTCTATCTGGCGGTGCGAGAGCGTGGTGGAGTGCTAGAGGTGATCAAGACAAAGCGGTGGAAGGAAATCAGCCAACTCTTTAACATCAACGCCTCTGCATCGGCGGCGTACACGCTGAGGAAAAATTACTGCAAGTACCTTCTCGATTATGAGTGCCGTTTCGACCATGGGCCGGGTGGCGCGGATGTGCGTGTGGTGGCAGCGCAGATTGAGACTCTTTCAGGGAAGAAAAAGAAGCCCTCGGTGGGCTCCATTGGCGGTGGTGGTGCGGGCTCGGAGATGAACGAATCTTCCACCTCCAGTTCTACGCCATTTCCACCCCCCTCACCAGTGGGTAGTCAGTCCTCGGCTTCGTCTAATCTCATGCCACCTGTCCAGCAGCCTCCCAGCAATGGGGCGCCCACGAGCGTTTCAGCAACTCCTGCGGCGTCAGTAGGAGGGACGGATGACGGTGGCGGAGGTGGAGCGAAAACTGTGGTTGGGCCAGGATCGTCACCTGTAGCAGGTGGTGGTATCTCTCCAGCTCCTTCGTCTGCTGCTGCCTCACCCTATCCTGCGCCACAGGCGACCGCTACTACCACGCCATCCTCCACACCGGTAGCGGCGTCTGTTGAGCAGCAACAACAACTGCAGTCTCCGTCTGGATATCCGATGGGTCCTGGTGGTGGTTCGCCTTGGAGGCCATCGGTTGGGGCCAATCAACGACCACCGTTCCCCCCACCCGGCTATCCGCAATCTCGAATGCCTGGACGTAAGCCCTAATCGCCTGTTAGAATCGTAGAGTTGAATTTTGATGTCTTAGTTTTGACTTCATTTAAAAGTCCTCACACCTAGAGTCGAAGGTTTTCTGATTAAGTGAGTTTCGTTACAGCCTACGGTTCTCGATTTTGGATTTTCTAAACAATTTCGAGAAGACAGTCTTGGTACTTCATGTTACAAAAAATTAACTGTTTTCTAAACTGGTTCACAAATAGAACTTTTGCTAATACCTTGCTTCGATTAAAGTTGGTAAACGCAAAAGTGAACTGAAAAGACTGCTTTTTTCACGGGTTTAAATGTTTTAAAATGTGGGGATGCTTCGTGTTCCAGCACGTTTCAAAAGAGCACTATTGTCAGGCAGCGATATCTTTTACTTGAAAAAAGAGATGTCAGCTTGGTAGGGTCACCGGCACAGACGGAGTACTTAGTTTTACTATTGTTTGGCCTCTCTCCTGCCAAATAACTAAAATATCACGATGTAAGTTGAGGGAAGGAGCGGACAGTTCGACTTCATTACTAATCCCAACACAGACGAAAGCATGGCTTTTTTTTTCCATTCACCACGGAAATGTCAAACATAAGCAATTAGTCAGGTTGGGCTGCAACGCTTTTGTCGAAACAACTGCAGATGTAAGGTCCTGAATTAATACGTTATTAATTTTCTTTGAAAATGCGTGTGCCACTGTTGTCGCCACCACTGAGGTTCATGCTTTCGTGACCCAGATTAGGCAAATCAGACGTCGATTTGCTATTTCCTTCAGTAAAATTCCCATAATCATTCGTTCCATTTAAATCTTAGCGTAAAAGGACTTTCGATTTTTTTTCTGATTACATTAATGTGTAATATATAACTATGGGAAAAGGTTGGATATGGGGCCGTGACTTCCGGTGGTCGAATGGATCTTCTATTTGTTTCAATCGACGACTACCAGTAACGTACTGATTTTGCTTCTCACTTAACAGCTGGAGTTAGCTACGGCTGTGAGATGGTGGGACGGCATCCCTATCCTCCGCCTCCCTCTCCTTACGGACGGCTCTCATCGGGCAGTACTGGTGGTAGTCACCTGATGGCAGCTATGGAGGGCATGCGTGGTGAGGCCTCGCCGGAAGGAGCACCTCTTCTCTCCTCCAAACCGCCTACAGGGAACACAGTTCACCATCCACCTCAACAACAGCCTCAACCTCCACCTTCCATGATGTACCAACGTGGTCCGCCCTATATGATCGGCCAGCACCATCATCACCCACCGCCACCACCACAACAGCAGCAGCCACCCCCGCCCCCCTCTTTCACCGCACACTACCAACCACCCCCACCACCATCTGGAGGGCAGGGTCCGGGTGGTCGATCCGGTATGGCCATGGGTCAAAGACCTCCAATGTCCCCGTTTGTTGGTGCACCGCCCGGCTACACCAATGCGTCCGGTGGTTCGCAGCCTCCTAATACCGCGTTTCCATCGTCTCAACGACTACATCATCCGCAATCGGCTATGATGGCGCAGCAGCAGCAACAACAACAGCAGCAGCCACCTCCACCGCATCCGGGAATGATGCCACAACAAGTGAGAAAGTGGATCGTTTGTCCTTATTGGACAATATTTGTGAAATCATCTCAGGTTTTTTATCTGCTTTCTTGTTGACTCTGAGTGTTCGGTGAATGCTAACCTTAATCAATTGATGGAAGGCTGTTCCATGAATGTCCACGCTAGCCACAGTCTAGTCTGCACGCGTTTTCTCTTAATAAACAGGCCGTCTAAATCCATAGGCTTCTACGCTTTTTTTTGAATTCTAACATCGCCAGTGTTGTCTTAAAGCGGCGGGTCATTAATGCTTTGGACAGTGAAACCATCTCAGTCCGCCTACCCATTTATCTTTGATGGTTTCATCGAAAATTCGTTTATTTCGTCAAAGTGGGTTTATTTTTCGCAGCTAGCATTTTTGTTGATGAGGTACAAATATGTGAAGCCATGCTATTTCTTACTTACAAATTTTCGTTCCGTGCAGTTCCACTGTACGTTTGCTTCCACTTGAAATTAAATTCCTTTGTAGCGCATTTCAGTGTAACTACTGCCGTTTCTGGAAAAAGGGTATCAAAGTAATGCGCCTATTTGAAGTCGTTTTTGTGATGTTTAGAAATAATTAAACTAGAACGCGTCCTGCCTTCTCTTTAATTCATAGGTTCCATCAGCGTGTTTTGTAGATAAATATTTCACTACCTTCACCAAAAAGGAATCCCCCCACTTCGGAGGCGTCGTTGCACAGTCCGGATATCAAATTATGGTTCGGACCGTCCACTTTTTTAGTCAGATAGGAATTTAGTTACGAATCACCGAAGCGGCTAATTTCCATTTTGGGAATCACTTCCCTATTTCGATAACAGCGAGAGCTCACATATCCGTCCGCATTGCCTTAAAAAGTCACAATGCGACAAAATAAACACCTCTTGGGTGATGGTCTGGATTTGACAGCCTCCTACGTGTCTCATCCTACCCAGTCCCGCAAAACTCGTGTCAGGTACATTGAAAACAAACCTCACGTTCGCATTAAACCTTTTCTTCAGGGCTCTATTAAAAAAGCCCTTTTTGCGGGGAGCGCTTGAAATACCCATTTTTGAGATTTTTCGAATGTGCGCTCTTTCACTAACCATCGAAGTCTTCTGCCGATTGGCTCGTTGGGTAGCTGTTTGGTTGGTTCGTTCGTTAGCTAGCCAGCCAGGCTGGCTTCACTTCCAGCGCCGTTTTCGTGTCATGGGCGGTTGGCAGGCTGGCGGATAGGCTTGCGTTCTGGCCGTTTGGATGGTACGAGGGTGGTGGTGGGGAGGGGTGTGGGGCGGGGCAGGTTAGGTTGATGGAAAAACGCGTTCGGCACTGAACCGCATCGTTGATTGGTACATGCGAGGAGCCAATGCAATGACGACAAGCCTCCCATGACTCATCGCCATGGCCATCACAACTGGAGTTGGCTCCTACGCGCGTGCACACTTGTGTTCGCCTAACGCTCGTGTGCGAGCGTTTTGTAGATCCTCGCATCCACTCCACTGCCCCGGCCTACCCCCATCGCCACTGTTTCTGCTCCCCTACGGCAAGGGAGGGGAGGTGGGTTATGCGCGCACCTTCCACTGCACTGGGACTGGTCAGCAAACTCAGACCCCTTTGAACGCCTCAGCTACCAGCGTCATATGCACGCGATGTCTCGATTATCTCATCAAAATCCGGTGTCAACCATGCGGCTTGTCATTTCGGCTGCTGCAACTCTTGCCGCAGACATGTCAAGTTTGTTAAAAAACAAAGTGGATGTGGTGTGTTTCATGGCTTTGGGGTAATTGGGCTTGTTTATTGTTTTCTAGTAGACTAAATAGGACATACCTATGGTGGGCCGTGACAGTTGGATTTCCCTGGGTGCTTTTCCTTCAAATATAACTTCAGGATTGAGATTTGTAGCTTCGTCTCCTAATTGCTTGAAAAATGAGCCGCAATGGTGGTGCACACCATTCCATAAATTCTAAGTTCTACGGTCCCTCATGAGTTCTAGTTAACGTCAGTCAGTATTTGGGGATACAAGAGGTCATTCGGGTTGATTATAGTTGAAGAACCTCACTATTTAGGGACACGTATAGGTATAATGGACCCACAGTCAGTTGCATTGCTCCACCACTTAGCAAGGGGAAAGGGGCTTGGTCTATTTCCCCTTGGTGAGTGGGACGATTGACCACTTTGACGTTCAACTAAAGTTAGAATTATACCTCCTCACCTTATCACCTCTTTCCTAACCATTAGCGTCCTGGACCGGCCTACGTTACGGCTGCTGCGGCCGCAGCTGCCTACTGGAAGCGACTGGAGGCGGTCCAGTTCTTCCCACCGGGCTGCGTAGAAGCCACGCCGATCGATGCAAGTCGTCGGAAGCGTTTCCGAATAAAGGATCTTGGTTGGTTGCATACTCTATATCATTGGCCAAGCTTAAATTGTGTTTAACTGGTAGTTATCATCAGATAAATATCGCTGAAACTGATGTGTCTGCCTTTAATTAACGTCACCTTGGGTGTTCTTATGAAATAAGTACCACCTTGGGTCATTAACGTAAAAACAATGCGAATATAGGTATCTTGAGTACTAGTGAAACCTACCGTCCATGGTGACTCATGGATCTTTGTACTAAGATTGCCTATATTGTGATGGTCTGCTTTGTAGGTGCCAGTTTGGGGGATCATTGGTTGCTTAAAGGTAAAGTAAAGGGGCTCTTTATTCTGATTTTGTACGAGTTTACGAAATTGGGTCGGCTTAAACACGTCAGTCCTCATTACATAGCCTGATAAGCGAAAAATTCTACTCTGTAACTTTGAGTCTTATATTCAACCCGACTGTATTGCTCGCGATTGGTTTGTTGGGTTAACATGTGAGGATACAAAGTGGATGCTGTAGGCTGCGATTGATACCGATGGGTTGGCAAATTCGTCTTTTACCAACCTTCTCACGTCCGCGAATAGACGTAACGCGACCATCAGTGCAACTTTTCACAAATGACATAGTTCTCTATACCGAATGTTTCCTCCGCATCGGTCGATATGTGAAGAGAACGATTATTCCTTTGTTTAGCTGACCTATTAATATGTTGTAAGGTCTATGACACATTGCACTACATTCTTCTCAAATATCTGATTCCTGACCTGATGGCACAGTTGGCTGCTTTTTATCTAATCAGGAAAGATTCACCGACGTGTGTGTGCGTACTGTGGCAGGGGTAAATCAAGCTATATTACACAAGGAAGTCAAACGGGTGTCACAGCGATTATTTGTGGGCGTATTCACAGAAAATGTCGCCTTTTCGTGTGCCTGAGTATTATCCTAATCTTCCCACCTTTCACCTCCAGGTCCACTAACTGCGTCAAAGTTAGTGATGGCACTTCGTTCCGGTCTGCCCAGTGAGACGACCTGGGCGCTTAACGCCCTCAACGTCATTCTTCGCGATGAGCCCAATGCTTTGGAAGCCTACTTCGCGCCGCCCACCCAACAGCCCCTTGTCTCAATCAATGCTAACGCGCCCACCCTCAATACCCTGGTCACTGCGCTTACCGACCACCTTCGCCACGATGCCAACGAACTCTTTCCTTCCCATCGTCTCACCTCGGAGCTCGAGCTGCCCCTCCATCTAGATGCAGAGAGTCAGTTGATATGTAAAACTCCTCCCGCCCCAGCAGATCCTCCGCCTCTCGATATCCAGACTTCTTCTTCCTCATCATCGTCGACATCTTCCACGACTAATCGCGAGAACCTTTTCACCGACCTCTTCAACGAGATCTCTAGCAAATGTCGTTGCCTCCGTGTTCGAAATCCACCCTTGTCTCCAAATGGGCTGGTCAGTTTGGAACATGAAATCGTCGCTATGGCCAACTCCAAGGGGGTTTCCGTAGGCGCACTGCGAGAGGCCATTCGACAACTACTCCAGGGCTCTGGCAAGAATGCTCGTCTCTTGATGAAGGCTTCAGCGCCAAAATTACCCAAAACGGCACCCTCCATGGATTCTGGTTCGGATAAATCTGGTACTGGTGCTGGCGGTGCGGGTTCTTTGAATAAACGAGGACGCGGGCGTGGATCTGGCACGTCTTTGCTTGCTGACCACTTAGCGGCTTTCGAAGCTGCTCATATGACCCCTGCCACGACTATAGCGAAACACACCACCTCTCTGCTTGTTAATAACCTCTCAGGACCCGAAGCTCGATCCAACATTCGAAGATTAGCTCTCTTCGCGTTGGACGAACTTCTCGAAGGCAAGGAGTCACCCCCACCGGTCCTTTTACCAGCCGACGTTGCTGCTGAACTTACTTCTCCACCCGCCTCTCCTCGACCTCCTTCAATGCGAGATGTCTTTATGCGAGGTGGCTCCGACTCCACTTCTTACATCCTTCCTCATCCCAACGGTTGTGGAGGAAGTAGCAACAGTAGTACCGGTAGCAGCGCCTCCATGCGAAGAAAGCGTACCAACTCTTCCACTGAGGCCACCTCGACTTCCGACAAGGCGTCGAAGAGGGCTCGTTCTTCATCCTCGTCCTCCTCTCTCCCCGTCCTTTCACCCCAGAAAGTGGATCCTTCCACGGATAAGACTGATATTGCTTCCACTCCACCTGCGGAGGCGATGGAGGAGGACGAAGACAGCGAGTTGAACAGTCATCGATTGATGACCGACTCACGAGGCTACTGCCCTCTTCGTGCACGTTCTGAAATAATCCGTCGTGGCGACTTGGCTCTCTGGCCTGTGGACGCGGCTTCGGAGAGGGCAGAGGGCTTTGCGTTGCGGTGTTTGTGCGTCTCCACGGTACTTCGCAATCTCTCTTTCCTACCCTCTTGTGAGCGTGTTCTTGCCAACCACAAAGCGCTGCTTGCGCTTACCGGCCGCCTTCTAACTGTCGCGCATACCCACTTCGAATCTGCGGATGCCGACTGGGCCTGTGTGGAGGATCACATGACTCGTTATGATTCCAACTCGGCCTGGTGGATGCCGTGGTTGGACGAGTTGTGCGAAAACATCCTTGTCCTTCTCGTCAACATCCTGGGTCATCTGCAATGTCTTCCTCTCCACGAGAGCATCGTGCGTCCTCTACTGGAGGGCCTCGTTCATTGGGCCACATGCCAGACTGCCGCTGCAACCGATCCTCTCCCCGGTCATCGAATCATCTCGCCGTGCCGCTTGGCTCTCGAGGCGCTCAATCGTCTCGCAGTGAATGACTCCAACGTTGCCATGCTGCTTGCGACTATGGACACCGAGAGCGCTTGTCGCCTCTTTGATCGCCTTGCTTCGTGGCTGGCTCTGCCGGAGGATCAGGTGACGCGAGAGTTAGCTCTCTCCACACTACACTACCTCTCAGAACCCCCGGTGAACATCTGCCAACAACAGATTGATGGAAATAACACCTCCACCTATGGACTCTCTTTCATTGCGCAAGCGAAGCCATGTCCTATCGCAGGTCTCATTTCCTTCATTGAAGTCATGGAGACGAAGACACGGAGGGTGATCGAACAGTATGGTGTGCAGGTGTTACAAGATCAGCCGGAGTTGATGGGGACGTCATTGGAGTTGTTGAGGCGTGCTGGAGCTCTATTACAACGTCTGGCAGCGAATTCTTTCGGCCGGAGTAGATTCACCCCAGATTTGGAAATGCGAGTGCTGGGCTTGGCTACCTCACGAGTGCTGGACGCCACAGTGGCCCAATTGCTCTCTGGATGCCTTCTGGATCTGCCCCAACGAGACAGTCACTCTGTATCAATCTGCGACCTCATTCCGAAGATGCCTTCCTCGGAGAAAGTGGCACAGCTCCTGGCGCCGCTGCTGAAGAGGAAAGAAGTGGCCGACAGAGCAGTGATGCAGAAAGTTTTGGAAAAGGAAGCAGGTGAGTCGAGGAGATCACAACTAGAAACGTCGACCCAAGATGCATCGTCTTCAACCAGGGCGACGGAGGACGAAGGTGAAGGATCGGCGACAAAGAAGAAGTCCCCTGAAACCACGGTAAATCCGGAACTGGTAGCCGCTGTATAGAGACCTCCCTACTTAATCGATTTTCTCCGTTTCCTCTCCCTGCCCTTTCAATGTTTTTGTAATGTGTCGTGAGAAAGCGTCTACGCGAGACCTCCCGTGTATAGCCGAAATTCCTTTTCTGATCCACTACGTTGAACAATGGCGTTTTATGTGCTCCTCTCCGCTCCACCGCCAAGTTGCCGAGTGTTTTATTTTGGTGCTGGTGATGGCGACAGCGATGGTGACGTTTCACACCTTCACCCTCTATCTTTCCTCCCCTCCCCTTCTCACGGGCACCTCAGTGAGATGTGACATTGTCGCCCTGCCTCTAACTCTGCGCCGATGAGCAAAATATTTTGTCCCAGTGTTGGTTTGGATCTTGCGTGTCGCAGGTCTTTTCTGCCGCCTACCTACCTACCTGCCCACCCACCTACTCTATTTCCCTTTTCCTCTCTACTCAGTACTCCCCTCGAAATGTATGCATTTCACGTTGGCAATGAAGCGGTTTTGTTATCGACTTTCATGTGTGCGCCACGCTCCCCTTTTGTAAGGGAGTGGTGAATCTAAATTTAAAGCGTGGAAATTATGCTTCCTGAGAAGCTTGATTTGCCGAATTCATTGGACTAGGCTCTCCACCTCGGAGTAGGCGGGATCGGCGGCTGTGGGAGGCCGGAGTCGACAAACGCGCAAAACGGATGGACAGGTCCAGCGGGACGGTGGAGCTCTAAAAAACGGGTTTCGACAAGTTGGATCCCATTACAGTATGTCAGCGTTATCGAATCGAGTGTCTACCTCTTTTGCGGTCCCGTATGACTGTGGGTGGGTGCAGTGGCTTGATACTCTCTGCTTGACGGTTTCCGCAAGCATAGCCTCCGTGGATTGTGCTCCCACTTTGCGGTCCGGTCTGCGAATCATGCTAGTTGTCTCTATCACCTTTCGTACCCCTTTAAGTATACACTCCTCCCCACTTTGGAGCTCTGCAATTAGGTCAGCACAAGAGCGAGCAAGATGAAGGCATGGTGGTGAAATTAATGAAAACAACTCGGCAACAGTGTGCCCTTTTTGGCACTTTCGCCTATCAATTACCGTTCAGGACCCTGGTCTCTACATAGAGTTTAAAAATCCTTAAATCGTTTGTAGTCATAATTGCGGTTCTCTACGAATCACCGATTTCTTAATCTTTGGTGACATGAAAACAAGTAAGGACTTATGGAACGATGACTTTCAGGCTGTCGCCTCACATGATCTGCCATCCAGGAGGTTACTGGTGCACCTTTTAGATGTTTGAACAGAACCTTGAATGGCCCATCAACCAAAAACGTGATCGTGGGGGAGTTACAAACAGTGAAGATACTAGTATCGGTGGGTGACCTTGACTCCAAAAAACATGTATTTGGACGGGTAATTTATAAATGTCTAGTTTTTGGTAGGGAGGGAGGGGGTGCTGATTAACCGAGTTACCGTTTGGATCTATGGCGTGATCGAACTAGTCAACACTCTACAAGACTGCATCCTGGGAAATAAGAGGACTAAGATTCCATGTGTCTGTTGGACATGCAAATATGCAAGCAGAATAGTGGATGCGAAGTTGTTAAATGGTCTGACTTTTGAAATAGGTAGGAATCGACAGTTGGAATGTTACAGCACAGCGGCCGTATTAAGGCAGATTTGGAACATGCAACAATTAGAAGTAGAAATAAAGTACGCAGCATCATTATATGTGAAAGAAAAGCAAAACTACAGTGGGCTAAATTTGTTAAAAGAGAACCTTACGAAGAAAACATTTAAAAATCCACAGATAATAGCAATTGATTGTGCCGCCACCATTTTATCACAACTTGCCATCAAAATAAAATTTTGTCGGCTAAATTTAGTTTTTTTAAAGCCCTTAGTACACATAATTTTTTGTTTTGATAATTGAATTGAACAATAATGGCCTTCAGTACTTTTAGGTGAATACGCGGTAATTTGAAAGTTTGGCAGTCACCGGGTTTCTCGGGTGGTCATGGTATTACAATGCTTACTGATTTGATATTTGGACTTAGTACGTCAAACGTCTTTTCTTGTGCTATGCCCTTAAACCCATATTACGATGCAAAAAGTGTTTCTCGTCTTGTTCTAGTGAGCCGTAAACAATCTTAGAACTGTATGGACATAGTGGGTAATTTGTACCATAAACTGGTTTAAGGAATGCAGGATTTTTGTTTTACTGGATAAGACATATCTACCTAAGATCTTAAATTTTGATGTGCTGCAGGAGTTAGGCATCATAAGGGTCATGCTAAAGTGATTAATCCTAGCGGTTCAGTCCAAATATTTTTAGAAATGTTTTTACTTAAAACCTTACTTGTTATCTGTTTTGGTTTTACGCAAACATTTGCACTGTTAACAGATACTGTAGCCCTTCAATTCTACATACGAGTGCACGTATAAAGGCATTTTATGCATAGCCTCTGCATTTTGACGTAATTGTCAAACATATCCCTAGAGTCCCTTACCCTTTTTTTATTATCAATCTGGTACTATGCGCACTTAGTTTAATGCATAATAGCTTTACAAAAAACTTAATTAGGTGCCCATTTGGCTTTTAATTTTGGCTGATCTTCTTTTTGTCGACTGAAGAATTTTCAGCAATCTGGAGCCTTCTTGTCGGTAATCTTAAGTAAGTCAAATTAAGTTAGCCTAGACGCTTACTTTAGATTATTAATTGGGTTAGACGTACAAGTTACTCTTTTATTAGTAAGGTGCATGCTTAAATGCACTATTTTATTCATAGTATAAATGTGGAACTAGGTGCTCAAGTTCGTGACGCAAATGCATTATACGATCGATCTTGCGTGACACAGCAATATACTCTTGTTAGCCTTATCCGAGACTGACTAATTTCCACTGACCATTAAGTCGTGTACCACAGTTGAATTTCTTCCTTTTATTGCTAGCTGACGAGTTGGTGACTATGCATATCTGTTTTAGTCAACCACTTCCACATTTTTTGTCAGTTTACTCAGTATATGTATTCAAAGGTATGAAAAATGTCAAAAGCTGACTAAAATTTCCTGAGTTCAACTGAATTTAAGCCACTTTTGGGACCGTAATTTTTAACAGGGATTTTCCTCTTTTAAGCTTAAGAAATGCGGTCTGTTGTAAGAACAGGTTTTCCTGAGAGGGTCCTTTAAGTAGTTGAATGACAGCTTTTGCGGATTACACTTCTCTGTAAGAGCGCTGGCAATGTGGGAGGACGTTAATGTCCACAAATAGCTGGGTAGGGGGCACGCACGAAACCGTGATTCGAGCCTTGTGGCGGTGTGAGTCATCGCATCGACATTGGCAGCATAGGAAACATCCATCCGACAGTGTCCCAAATAAATCACTGGCTCTCACACTGCCACACGCAACTGCGAAAACGTCTCTAGACGACTTGGTAGCATAAAAGGTGAACATGATTTTTCTCACCAAAAGGCGGGACAGATTTACGCGTTTCTGAAGTAAAAAAAAGAAGCCTAATCCTTTAGCTATGGTAATCTCAATTTCCCACTAAATTAGTTTTGAACTCCTCGACACGTTTTTGGTGCCTATATGGTCTGTGGTCAAAAATTGGTATTAGGTTGCGTGCAATGAAATCGGCTTCGTTTTATTATGGGAATACGTATTTGAAATTGCAGATAAAGGTTTATTTTGTTTGAAGTACACGTTGCTGTGGCGATTTTACTGCAAAACGTGTACTAACTAAGGTTGTTTAATAATGGGTTTTTTGCTAAAAATGAAAGTGAGTAGCTTGATAGAAGGCAAAGTTGAAGATAGTGAGGAAGATGAAGAAGGCTGCAAAAGTTAAGTGCAATTGTTCTGTATGTAATTACCTCGTCCGTTCACTCATCCGATCATTCAGCCATTCATTCATCCGCCCAACCATCTACCTGTTTATTAAGGACCCATCTATCCGATCGCTAACTCCAACTTTGTCCATTTATAAAGCCTAGCTTTCCCACTCACCACTAGTCCTCCGTCCTAACCATTACCCATTTTAAACTCATTAATTTATATATTGGTCTTAGATCCATCCATTCATTTATTCCTTTTTCGTTCATCTATCTTTTAAACCTTTCAGTCGCTAAAACTCGTCGGTAACAAACCGCTGGCATTAGAGATGAAGTGATTACTTATTATTTGAGTAGTGGTATATGCTACTTATTTCTCCAGCCTAATCAAAATCGGGCGTTTTTCTGTTGTAGCATATCGTTTCTTGAACAAATGTGGAAGCCTTTAAGTTTAAAGACCAGTTTGTTGTTTAAAAGATTGAAAGGTAAAGTGTACAATTTTCACGAGTTTATCAAATTATATGCTACTGAAAACATTGATGTAAGGTCATTTAAAGGTAGCCGACTGTTCGTCACCTTCGCCTTCCTAATTATTTGCATCACAAATCAGTTAAAATGTACGCGGAAGGTGTTACCCTGTGTGTGTGTGCACAATGTCCAGAAGTCTTCGCTACTGCTTGGTGTTATTTTGTCTTTACCTGGTATGACATCATGTGACTACTTTTCCAGGTATTTCCACCTTCATTTCTGCTTCCTGGCAAGCCGAGAATTTGCTAGTATGGCTGAAGGGGATTTGCAATATCTTGATGTTGGTGGAGAGACTAGTCCCAGTAACACCATGCTTTGAAGACGAGAATTTTTAAAATTTATAACCTTTTTCCGCATAATTGTCAGTTGCATCATTAATGGTTATTTTATGAAGCGGTAAGTAAACACTTTCCGTGAAATAGCTTCATGCCAGCGATGAAAAAAGGTCAACTGCTATTTTAGTGAAATCTCTCTTTCAAAGTGAAGGCGAGTTTTCCCATTCATAAAAGCGGCTTTTCGAGTCAATCATTCATGGCTTAGTGCATAACCATGCCTGAAAAGAGCTGGAAAGTCATTTCGTTATTTGAAATTTGTTACTCCTCAAGGACTAGTGAGACTGTTTGCTCCGGTTTATCATCTTCATCCATTTTGAAGTGTCAAGGCACCTACTTGCAATATTTAAGTGAAACGTGAAATAGACAAATCCAGCATTCACATTCAGCCCTCTTGCATTCCCTTCAACTATTAGCCCAGTTTTAGGATCCTTTCTTTATTGCCAATACCTATAAATGTGTCCGACTTGATGTCCGGAGTGCTCCGCGACAGTTACATCATTAGAGCCATTTTTATCTTCGTAGTCCACTAACAGACACTTCCCAACAGCGATAAATTTGTATCCTTGGTCCTCTTTGACACAGCCCACAGGTTTTGAATCCACCTTCATTCCAGGGTGGCAGCTGCTATTCTCGACTAGAGAATCCTTGAATTTCCAGAGTGAGGTGATCACAAGACGGAAACAGCGGACATTATGGCAACTTTTAAATGCTCTGTCATCAAAATTTCGTCCTGTTATACAAATATTTTAAAGCCTCATAGTGGCCGGATTTTTGGATCTTTCCAGCGGCTTCCATCGCCAGGGGTTATAAGGAGAGCAAAAAAATCCAAAACCTATTTATCAAATTGTACGAGCGTTTTTGAAATTGCTTCTAGTCGAAGAGTTTAGAGTGCGTGTGAGAGATAGCATCGAATGCACGGCGGCCAAGAATCTTAGGGACGGTGGGGCACCCGCTTTCAACATTTAGGTACTAGATGCGTTCTTGATTTTAGACTGCATGTACACAATAAAGAGGAGGAAAACATTGGTGATGCTAAAGACCCTACTTCAAAATCCGATGTCTTATATCATCCCATTGTGTCTCCGTTTGCTACTTGGAACCCATTGTTTGTTTTACGTAATAGTGATTCGTTTCTTTAATTCCTATTGTTGATTGCATCAGGAAATTATCCTCTAGTTAAATTGTCGACAGACTAGACCAATTTATCGCTGCTTTTTGACAAATATTAGTTGGAGGCAGCTCAAATATCCTTTTCCCAATCCTTACTGATCACATTATCAGTTCCCGAGGATTCTAAAAAATGGTCCTTTTGTAATCTTAGTGGAGCTATCCTACATCCTCTTGTGCTTGTTGCAAGTCCAGTTTTATGCTAAAACAGCATTCCACTTTCGTTCCATTCCTCGCCCTTATTTTCCTTCCTTGGGTCACTCCCTCAATTTGACCTTTGTGTATAACACATCAGGCATTTGTGATAGGACTTTTCTTTTGCATATTTTTCATTTTTTTTTATTTCTCTCAGATATCCCTCTACTACTTCCTTTATTGCCGTCTTTACCACCAAATTCTGGGATTACGAGTCGGTTTTGGCGTTTATTTTTTTTTCTTTTCAAGTAGTTATCGTTGAAAAGAGATGGGTTTCACTTGCCTTGATGAATCTTAAAGACCATCCATGTTACTTTTTCTTTAATTTTTTTGGGGCAGATTTTGATTTGATTTAAATTTTATAAACTGTGTCTGTGTCGACCCTGCAGAAGTGCGCCACTGCTGTCACAGCCGCGATAACTGGTTACACCAAGTCGTGGGTCTGAAACCTTGCTGATTAAGTTAAAAGCAATAAAGTCGAAATAAAGTTGTCTCGATCTGATGCGAATTACTTCTTTTTTTGTTTGTCGGTTCGTTTCAAAATCCTACTGGACAAACGCACTACCTAGACTGTGATGACAGATATTTATCTGACAGTCTAAGATCTGCATTCACAGATGTCGTGGCAGACAACCAGAGAAAACCCGGTTGCACACGAGGAGATAAGGCATGATCTCGATGTCATCACGACAATTACTTGACAAGGAAGTTTCAAATCATCTTTTAAAAAATTATGTCTGATGGAATACAGTTGCTTGTGGAGACAATGCAAAACCAAGAAATAATGCGGTCCATGTATATTGTGTAGCCCTGTGACGAGACTTCCAAGTTGGAAACCAAGCTAGAAGCACGAGCGGAGTCTTGCCGCATCGACGTGGGGCATTTAAGCTGCCCTCACAGATGCTACAAGGCCTCAGTCCCACAGGGGATCTGGGGGCTGATGGCACAGGTAGAGCAGGGTAGATGGAAGACTCGGATAGTACTGTGTGCGGTCAAAAGTGTCCTCGACATGCGCAGACGCGTCAGCAAGCTAAGGTTTTTTGTGTTTCATATGTTCTATCGATGTGAATTCGTTTTGAAGGCGCTCAAAATGAAGTTGTAAGTCCTTACGGTCAAAAAAACCTTTGCCACGTGTAGACTGACGCCGGTAAAACGGACCCAGATAGTTTGTGCCGCAAACAATGTTGGCCACAAATGACGGACAGCTTATAAACTTGTTTCAAATGATGTTTTCGACGTTTTTAAGGAGGTTTTTTCTCATCAACTTGCTTATTGGCCCTAATCTCCTCTAGCAGGGATTCACTTCCTCAATTAGGAATGTCTGCCAAATCAAAATTTGTTACTTTCGTAAATTTGCCCAATCTTTATTTAAGTAGCATTTTTAGTGCTCTTCGGCTTGTCTGTGTTGTTCCATTGCTTCATTCCAGGATAAAACCCGTGCTTTAAAGTGATAGGAGTCCTATCACCCGTTTCCAGGGTTTTGATCTGCATCTTCTACACTCGAGTAAGAACCGTACAAGGCCAGGAAACTCTCACATTTTGGTAGCTCGTCTCTAAGACTCAGTGGACCTTTATGATGTTTAGTGATAAACGCCTTTGGAGGGGGGGGGGAGTACTACCGAACTAATTTGTCCGCCATTCAAGTTTCCAGGCGATGGGTAATCGCCTCAAGCCACTTTTTTCCTGAAAATGGTTGGAACAACTAGAATGCATCTATTGTGCTTGAAAGAATCATCTTATGAAGTCCTTGTTAAACAACCTTCCAGGTATTTGGCTCCACACCGACATTATGAATCTAAAATTCAGAAATATGATTAATAGTGGTGGTCCTTTTCTTTCAACCTTTTTCCTACTTTAATTTTGCCTTCTCTCCAACTCTTCCACTCTGGCTTTAATGGTTTAGCCTTAACCTTTTCCTAAATAGTCATCCTCACCACCTCTACCCACATTTTTCTCACATCTAAGTAGATGACATTTCGCCAAAGCTGTTCCAGACATGGCGTATGTGTGTTTACGCTCGTATGACAGTCTTTGTCTCGTCACAAATGTGATTTTTGGCCTGCCTACAAGGACTGGAAGGCGAAAAGATTAATTGGGACACGTTCATCCAAAAAAGTATTCGCTTCCTTCATAATAGTCGATATTAATAGTGAAAGTAAATTATTCACAATATCGCGTAGACGATTTGAGATGGGACCAACTGGAAAGGTTAGAGCCATGGTGAAGGGTGGTATGTACACTTCCAAGCACATCTAGTTTGTTGGCAAGATTTTACTGCTATTCTGCCAACTACAAAAGCGAAAGTGTTGCGAGGTCGGTCACATTTTTTACCCAAATCTCCCACCTCTATCTTGCAGAAGGGAACAGATGGCCCATTCGGTATGCGCCCCAATCGTTTGCGCTAACTTCAAGATGTCCGCACATGGACACGCAGGGGGGCGGGGGGGTAGAGCAAATGGTCATTCCTTAATGCTTCCCATGTTCCTTTTGTACACAAAGAAGTGCGTATTTCTTACGTTTAGCAACTGCGCCTACCCTCAAATACCAAACTTGGGTTGCAACATGTGACACCTCTAGTCAAAATCCCACCTGGTTAATGAGTTCTGTGCCAGTCCCGCCGGATGTAGTTGTGTAACCACAATCAAAGCATCCTCTTTTACATCCCCATTCAACTGCATTTCTGTGTCTATTCATAAACTATGGACCTTAATCTCTCCCTCTATATGTTAAGTGATCTCACACCCTATAAAATGCAAGTAAGTATTCTTAGTGCATATAATACTTAAATGATCATTTATTTTACTATTAAAAGTTGCGAAATTTTGTTAGTTATGCTGTCTACTCCTTGTGCTGTCGGATTCTCCTCCTTAGATGTGTGCATAGCTGGTTTTAACATGTGCGAATTTCTACCTTGACTGTCATTCATAATGAAGGGACTCCTGTATACACAGCATACAGTTGTTGTTGTCCCTCTTTTTATGGGGCTTTGCCAATTATAAAGGCAACAGGAATAAATGACTGCCAAAGTTTAATTTAAGCCAACAGGATCTTTCTGTTGAAACATCGTCTATCGCAACTTTACTAAGCTCTTTTCTGGTTGTGTAGGTTACTCAATTTTCCCCTTCGGATGAAAAACACTGCATTTATTTAAAATTCACAGCCAAACTGCCGATAGCTTATCTTTGCTTACCTTTGTCCCAGCTCTAGCCTCCCTCCACGTCCCAATTTATATGCGTTTTCAGTTGGCCTTTCAGAATGTCCCAATGTAGTGTTTGTGCTTTCAGCCGGGTCACATGATTCACCATTGCTTGAAGGAATGCGGAAAAACGACTTCTTTGAAACGTTATTGCCCTCACGGAAGCATATAAGTAAATGAACAAACTGGACGTACGGAAGTACAAGGCAAAGTGGATTTTGGAGCCCCAAATTCTTGAATGTATTAACCGTTTAACTTGAATGCTTAAAAGCTGAATTACTGGAGGTGGTAATAAGGGCAAAACCATTAATTCTTGCTGGTTTGGGTGGAGATACCTTTTTTGCCTGCCTTCTTTCTTTCTCCTGAAAATCCAATCTATCATTTCTACATTTCAATGCAGCTAATGTACCTATACAGCTCTTAAAATACCCTATCCATTATCTCAAACTATGTTTATTTTCTTCCAACCCAGTCCCTCTTTCGTCTGAACTAATGGCCTATTTGCGTACCTAGCATGACCGATTCGCATGTTTCCTTGCCAGACTACCCTCTGTGCGTTTCTCGGGGATTCCTGTACCAAGAAATAACATAATTTATGTTTACTGATCCTTGGTATTTCGCAGGGTAGCATTTTAAAAGCCTTGGAAGCCACACTTATTCACTTACCTATTAATTTGAACGAGCTACTACAAGTGGGCTCCATTTGTGCCTCAATTCCTGCTGAAATGACATTGTTTATGCATAGGGTAGGATATTTACGAGGCAATTTTGTAAACTTTGATTAATTTCATGCATATAACATGAGATTGCGTGCATACACACGCAGACGTAAACAAAACACCGTGTCAGGGTAAGGCAAGGCGGCCACAATACGTAGCCCCAAGGGACGGCATTTTAGTTGAGCCACATTCTGGGCGTGTTGTCATTGTTAATTGGGGAGAAGGGCTTTGTCAGTTCCCTGTTGACCATGTTCCTCCTTCCCACCTGGAAGTCAGCTTCGGCAAATTTGTGTCAGTACGAAGGAGTTGTCCCACGGCGCCCTGAGTACCCGGGACACCCCGGACTTTTGAGATTGCAAATGTTTACATCCGCAATTGTGTTGTGTTCACCATTACAACAGAGCGTTTCATTACTTATGCAATTACATCAAAGCACTCGCGGATACGCCTTGATCGGGCTGGTAGCATTCTGTCCTTTGGACAGGGCACCCAGGGAATCCCTACAGTCAAGGTCGTCGTTACTACAAGATGGCCGTAGGGCTGTCTTTGAAATGTTTGCATTAAAACTATTTTAGCGTCCTACGGTTGACCAGATTGGCGGCTGAGCGTCACCATCACCGTCGTAAAGACTGTGCACGTGTTGTACTATAGATACAAGTAGATGTCTGTGGATTTGAATTCCACCCCTCCTTCCCGTTGAAAACTGCCTTTATTCATCCATCCATAGCCATTTTTTATCGTTGGCTATCATCTAATCTTGATTAACGGGCTGGACTGGCGCAGGAGGTGTGCGCCGACGATAGATCACATTCGACAGCTACAAGTGTAGATATAAGATTGACAGTCTCGGCTTGGCTTGAACAAGCTTTATTTCGACTTGTTACCGGATTTTAATGTGACAGTTTTACTGATTACTTATTAGCATCCTCCAAGCCAATAAGGAACTCGGAATGACGACATTTTTGCCCCATAAGAGTACTTACTTTTGAGTCAAATCAACAGAGATCCAAGCTACTCAGAGATCTGGTTACAGGTTAATATTATAAAATAAAAAAAAATTACAAGTACATCGTGTCTGCTCATATTATGAGCAGGTATGTCCAATGGGAGAGAAATGGAAAAGCCAGTCGGGAGAGTCCACACGAAGGTGGTGAAGTGTAGAAAAGCACAGAACGAGATGCTGGTATAGAGCCTCTGATAGTATTATAGATACTGGGATACCTTATTTAAATGGCTAGTAGCTATGGCCCCCAGAGGATTAGCCAAAGAAGGAGCTCATGACATGGTGCTCAATTATTCATATGAGAATGGGAGGTTACAAGGGTGTAATTAGCTTCTTTGATGAATGGTGAAATTTATGGATGTCTGAACCCAAAATTAATGCTCCCGAGTATCGGAGCCTTTATGTCCCCCCTCACTTACTCCATTTAATAACGCAGCGGAATTTAACCATCTTTAACTCCTCATCTCCTTCCTAATCCATTGTAAAAATCGTGTGTCTCCCATCGAAACTTATCAATAGCGAATTGGCCGGTCCGATTCGACAACCTGTGTTCAAATGACAAAGTTATTCCCCTTTTTCCTATTTTACAGTCCTCTTCATGCGGATCCTTGCCGTTTCTCGGTCGGAGGAATGCCCAAATGGATTTTTCCGCATTTCCAATTCCTGCTACTTCGTAAGTCATGCGTCTATGAACTACTTCTCACCAGTTGCATTTGTTTGACAACAAAAAAAGTTGATACGTATTTTTCGTTGTAGCTCTACAAAAAAGTAGACACAGTAACTTTAACTTTCATAGTACAAGAAGTACGACGTCTTAACGGTTTCTTCAGCTACAGGAAATAATGCATATTTCCGTTTTTATATTCTTCAGTTTTGTTTCGGGGTCATAGTGAAAAGTATTGATACAAATGGGCACTGGTACTTGTCAGTGTCATTACGCTGGTCTCTGTCATTGTCTTACTGACTCACCTGTGGTCCGGCATCATGGAATTTGAAGGTTTTATCATCCAAAGCATAGGCGGACCCAACAATCGCCTTCAACTCCCCCTGGAGTCTCTTTCATTGTTGCTCTCCAGTACTCTCAAGCAATTTTCAGGATCCTTTATTCACTCCTTGTGATTGTGACAGGATGACCGGATGTTCGGGGTTTCCTGCATCCTTGGCCCCCAAAAGAAACAATTTTGAGCCTTTTAATTTACTAATTGGCCATTCTGCGAGAGGGATGAGCTTATGATTCTGATAATTTGGATCGTGTTACTTAAGACGTGGCAGATTTTGATTTCCTTCTTCTCATGGGTGCGCTCCAGGGCGAGAAATTTAACAAGGTTACAAGAGTAATCGGCCTTTCAAACAGATCTAGTGAATTACTGTTTCTCCTTCTGTCTCTGCTGTCTACAATCAAAATACGGCAAGGCATTCTTAAACACCTCTTGCAGCTACCAGTTTGTCGCCACAACATTGATGCTGTCATTGAGGCCAAACACGCAAATAGTTGTCACAATGTCACCTTTCGCAGTTTGAGCTGGTTTTGGTCTGTCTCGTAAGGAGACAATCTCGATGGTTGTTAGTGGCAAATTCCATCGGTTCACACTTCGCTTCATTACAATGGCTGGAGTAGAGTATCGTCTTTGAATAATCAAATCAACTTCATTAGCTTTTTCCCGAGGAAGGATGGTTTTTAGACTGTATTTAGACATTCAACCAAGTGAATCATGAAAAGACTTCACTTTTTCACCATACGCAACTGATTGAAGATGTATTGTTATAAATTGAATTTATTCACTCAATGGAGGCGACTTTTGGGTCTTTTCTAGCTTCTTTTCTTGCTATTCCGTTTCATATTAGCACTGCTTCAATAGCCGCTCCAATAAGCCATTTCCCAAATTGGTTTTGATTGTGGTCTTAAACGCGGTCTATGATTCCCTTCCAGAGCGAAATTTTACAATCCCCCTGCTAGCCATGCGTCTCGGCGGCATTTCAGGTTGCCTGTACCTTTGCATCACTTCGTTTCAAGACAGAAGCCCTAGATGCATTTATGAGGCTCGAATCTAAGTGGAACTTTAGCACAGATGTGCAAAGGTCCCATGGGTTGAGAACAAAACGGGGACAGAAGTTGCGCCGACTGTGTTTACTTAAGTAAATATCTTTCAGTGACGCAAAGAATAAGCTAACAGAATTGACAAAGAAAACCAAAAAGTGCTATGAAATGCCAAAAAGGTACACCTTTACAGCGAACTTCAAGCATGACGGGAAGCAGGGAAATTGAGTTGTGTAAACACAGTGTACTCTGCAATAACCATACGCCAGCCTGAAGGAGGAAACAGTTCCACTTGAATTGCGTGACAGGGAGATGCATTGAGAGGGTAATAAAAAAGGCAATGGCTTTCTTCGCCGCCACTCCAACCAAAGTGACCTCGCGGTCTGTAGTCGCCTAATCGAGGCGCAAAAGCGGCAGTCTGATCCCCGCACGCAAGCGAGTGAACTTCGGCTAAGCGACTGTAGCGACAACAATCCACAAATTCCGATTAGGGTCACCTCCTGAGGAGTGGTGGGGTGACAACGGGCATGCCTCTCCCCTAACGCAAGCGCTGCCCACTTACTTTCGGTGTTAAAGAGCAGTTATCTAATTTCTTATTTTATAAAGAAATAAAAAACCTTGGTTTACCAAATAGTAAGTGGACAATCACCTTAGAGCCTTCACCGCAGCGACGACTCCAAAAATATGCGCTCTGTATTTTTCACCGGTCCGCGACAACTGGTTGCACCAACTCGTGAGCCATAGACCACAGCACAGGGTAGACGTGGAACATTCTTGGTCAGAAGATAATTTCGTTTTTTACTTCCTTTCAAGCACTATCAGTTGAGGTGGTAAAATAAGTTGTTCAAAATTTATGGGGCATTAGAAAACACCCTAAACTGTGACGTCAACTGTGAGTGAATAAATTCTCGAATGATTTTTAGGTCTACAATGGAACGAAGGAATTATTTTCATGGAGCGAGGCTCGTAAACAATGCAAAGGGTTGCACTCCGACGCGGATCTAATGGAAATTCACGATCAATCTACTCAGGGTAGGAAATTACTGTCGTGCAACTGTATAATTCATTAGCCTTCACGCATTACACTTTAAAATGGGAGATTTTATCGTTATTACGGTTGTAGAATTTGATTGCTAAAAGTAAATCGTGAGTGGAAAATAAGCTTAACTCCCCAGGAAAGTCTTGTTGCGTAAATCTCAGAAGACAGTCCCGCCATTCGCTTTTCTGTTTCGCCTAAAAATAACCCTTTCGAGTTAGGCAAAAGTTCAATTCTTCGAGAAAATAATGCTGGCGGAAAACACCTTTTAACGCTTTTCATATTTCCTCCATCAGTCGACTGATGCAGTATTTGGGTTGGGAAAAGTTGACAAAGCCAAGAAGGGGGTGTTGTACCACCCTCGCTACCAAGCCCTGGCTCAGAGGCAAATCGCCCATCATGGGACAAATGTTCTCCTGTCCTGATGTTTCATTAAGCGTAATCTATTTTTCCCCTTTCCAACCCAATTCATCTTCATCTGATTAAAAATGTTCGCATATGTGCGTGTTTGGGTAAGATGATCAGTCCGTCACATATATGTGACGCTGGTGGATGACATGTTGAAAAGACGCTACTTTTGGTTCTCGTAGAATAGAGAAAATAATGACACATCGGAAAATCATGAAAACGTGTCAGAAGTCTGCATTAGTAGAGCAAAAAGTAAGGCGACTGAGATGTCTCACTTTTCCTTTACGGCACAAACGAATCCTCACAATTTGGAACAAGAGGCAACAACTGCTACCTCTGTTCAAAGAGGAAATTAACAAAATTCCTATTTATCCACTGCCTAATTGAAATAGAGTGAAGTTCGCGAGGAAGGAAGAAGACGGCGCCTTTCCTTTGGATTGGTCCCCTGTAAAGACGAATTTCTGCCAAAAATTTGCGGCACCTTTGTGAACTAAACTGCAGGATTTGCCAATTTAGCCCACATTATTTTCTGAGGTATTTGAATAGGGTATTTAACTTATTGAAAAGGAACTGTATCAATGAATCCTCGTATTGAACAACCGTGATTGTGGAATTGTTGCCTCGGTCATTCAAGTTAAATCGGAGACTCTAATTTTACACCGCGGGGGTATTGTGCGCCATATCGAGGGCACCGACAGCCGACGGTAATGTAGTGAGCCAGGCCAGTCCAGTCCGGCCCAGCCCAGTCTGTTAATCAAGACCACGTTATGGTCATCGGTGGTAGTGGCTGTGTGCGCAGTTGTGGGTAATGACGAACAAAGCCTATGTACAGCAAGACGGAGGGGTGAAATTTAAACCCACTGCAGTTTGCAAAATAATGGCGGCAGCCGTCAGGCTGGTCAGCAGGCGGACATTTAGATGATTTGAACATTAACAATTTGCAGACCGTCTTACGTCTGCCTGGCTTTGTGCCTGTGGATCTATATGTCGTGACGGTATTCTGCGTCCCTAATTCACAGGACAGCGGTCGACTCTGTGACAATTCAGCTGGCCTGTCACTGTCGGTCCTTAAAATGGAGGTATAGTTACCTATGGTGTAGCGAAGTTGCCCGTGCGATTGATAAACACAGCACGATCATTCATTGCAAAGTTTACGCATATAGGATAGCAAAACGTCTTTTCGCGGACCGGTTTGGACTTGGGCAAACCTTTCTGGGTGGAAGCTGTATTCCAGGTGTTGGTTAAATGCACCGTGAAGTTCCGTACAGTGATGACATAGGACCACGCCAACGACTGAATGGAGTCTGCATCTCCCAAATCTACTTCCCTTCTGCCTCTTATTTACTTGCTCATGATACACTGTCAAGCTTAAAAGGATTGAATTAGAGATCCACGGAGAAACAGGTCGGGTAGGGCAACGCAGCTCCCCTGTAGATTCACCAAGCTGTAAGCCATTGGTGGAACTCAGAGACTGAAGTACAAGAACAAAGTCTCCCCTAACACAGAGACTACTTTGAAGTACTCATAAGGTGTTGAATTTCAGTAGAGGATCATCTACATCGTGGTTTTGGTAAAACTGGATCGGTTATATTGTAGCATTTAACATACCAGTGATTTTAGAAGTGCCATTCAGGTGGGCGATTCTTCCTCTTTTTTTTCCAAAAAAAAATAGACCTGAGATGACACCAAGGTGAAGTATTGTTAGCTCCAAGTTACAATTTGTGATGGTTTAGACAGCTTCTTACCTCCTGCTGACCAGGAAGGAGCCCTTCTGTGCAGTAGTCGGAGCACGTGATTTGTAGCGTGGCAACTGCCTACACCGACTGGTGCCTTGGAGCATCACCGAATTGGATAAATTTACGCCTTACTAACGGTCCTGCCACTTTCTGGGTGTAAATATTTACTGGGGTGGCGCAGAATATTCTAAAATTAAGGTGAATCAAGCCTCTGGTGTAACCCTTGCTATAAATCGCTGCCTTTCCGAAGCATAATCCTTTCGGTAGAAGAGGAAAAGAACAGAGAATCTGGAATGCTGCACCCCTAAGAAGTGCCCGTGGTTGTGGGCGTGAATAGCTGGACACCCACAGCTCTGTCCTCAGACAACTTCGCTGTAGATAGCTTCATCCTCATAGTAGTGAGCGCCTATGCCAATGGAGATGAATGATCCTTCGTAACATTTCGCATCCACAATACTCAGCATGTAAAAAAAACCCATTTGTCTCACTTTAGCGCGATTTTGCGCAATAATTTCTGTCTAGGATGATAACTCTTGAACATTATTGCATGGATAGTCGAATTGTCAGACAGAGGTAGTTATATGATGCTCTCAGACACGGCCAATTACTACTGATATTCTGACTCGCTCTCCCACTCCTCCTCCTCCTCTCATCCCCCTTTTCGCCACCTTCTCCAGTTCTAGGTTGTGTTTACTCTAAATTAACCTTACCTTGACATTTATTTAAACAATGTAAAATCACTTTTGAATGGGATTGGTTAATTTGTAGCCATGATAATCGTCGCACTTCCCAAACTTTTTCTTGAAGCACCCTACACCCGATCGTAGAACTGTTTTTATGCCATTAACACACATTAGGTTTTCTAGCCAATCATCCTTAATGAGGTCAGAATTTTATGATTACCATCTAAGAAGACACACTTCCTCCTCCCTCCCCCCTCGTAAGACGGCTTCAGTTTTGGACAAGACCATCAACGCCCATGATGATAATTGAGGAAGTGAAACAGCTCGTAAAGACTCAAGTAAATCTGAGAAACGGACTAAAAAAGCGCACGTTTAAGCTGCCATAGCTAAATTCCTATAGTGATGCTGTATTATTATCACTATTTTTTTCCAGTAGAGATTTAAAACTTTCATAGGCTTTCGGCTTTGAATTCCTGCTGTGTTACAGGCGGTCCGTTTAAATGTGCCTTGGTTGACACTCCTTGATCTCAAAAGCATGTATCAACGCCTGAAAGTCCTGCCCACCTCTCAGGCCCCTTGAATTTTAGGCATGTATATCCATTTCTGATCGTTCACTTTTTTGGCCTTTAGACTCTCTGAACGTTGTAATATCACTTGTTGCCTGGCCGGTGTGGATTGGACTTCAAAGCAGTGCAGCCTATTCAATGGACCGTTCTTCCTACAAGTGGATTACTTCAAACAGGACCCCAAACTATTCCAATTGGGCACCCGATGCGTTCAGCTACTTAGAGGTGAGAAATTTTTGTCTATTTTGACGGGAAATCGACATTTGGTTGATGAATTTTTATGATGTATCACGCAAGCCACTCCTGAAGGTATTGATAAGCGTTGAAGTCTATAACTGTTTTACTGTGTAGCCGGAGGAGTTTATCCGATGTTGGCTGTAAATCACTGCTTTGACTTTCTGGAACTTGGTTTGTGATTCTCGGCTCTAGGTGATTCAAGTTTGTCCCCTTTGCGAAACAAGTTCGACCCGCTTGCAAAGGCGAGGAAGCCTCTGCTGAAATTTTTGTATAGCACTTGGAGAAGGTGCGGTGGTGCAACTTTTCACACAAGAAAGGCTTCAACAAATTGATCTGGGTAGCGGTTTTTTTAAAGGGAAAGGATCACGTTGAGGGGGATCTTAAGAACAGTGGGGAGTGATTGAAAAGGTTGGAGACTGACGTAGGAATGTTGGGCGTGAAATGACAATGAAATAAATAGTTTACAACTAAATTAGCTGGAAAGGGAAAGCTGCGGAAGCCACTAGGCGTCGCAAGACGGTGACTGACTAGTAATGGGAAAAGAATTTTGTGTTGTCAAAACGCGGTCACCACAGTCCTACGTCACGTACCACCTCACCTCCATAATTGTGCTAGGTTGTCGGCACCGCGAGGCCAAACGTTGTAAAAAAGTGGAACCGGTGGAAAATTTGTGTCTCCTTAAGAAAGGATTGCGAGTTATAATTCGTAGGAGCTTTCCACAGGAAATCGGACATTTATTCAATGGCGCGGGTGTGTTTGGAATTGTGGAAACCAACACGGGTACGGCGTTGCAGTACTATAAGTCTGATTCATATTATGTCAAATTAAAACAAGACTTGACTAGGCACACAGACACAAGTACTCGTCCTTCTGCATTCAAGGTACACCTATTTCCAGCCTAAGTCCACATACACTCTCCATATGTCAGATTAGAAAACATGAGAAGTGTGCTGTTTTGTCAAGTAATATTGAGGTAAAATAGTAACATAGAGGTTGTCACCGAGTTAAGGTGATATTTTTCCTCCACTTTACAAAATAAAGTCAAGGAAATGTAACATAAGCTTTAAAAGACTCAAATATTTGCATAGAAAGGATGTCCTCAAAAATTGCTCCTCACCAAAGGTCGTTTGTGGAAATTTTTTTTGGTCGAAAAGTCATAATCACCGGCATAACTCATTCTCCCATTGTCGAAAGAAGTGGATAGTTTGCCAATGAAATTTAGCTACTACGTTGAGAAGTTTTGAAATGAATTGTTCGATCACTTTGTTTTAAACGACCTTGAGCTGTTCACCAACTGCGTCACATATATGTGACGACCCGTTTTCTTACAGAATCTTGCACATATCACACATGTGATAGGTATATGTAAAAGGATGTGAATTTGACAGGATGGATTGAGTAGAGTAAATGAGCACATTAAAGAATTAAACTAGTCGGGCTATGATTAATTGTTATCCCATGATCAGACCCGGTGGCTAGGGTTTTTTTAGTAAGGGCTGGTGTCGTCCAAGCAACTGTGTCTCACAGTTGGAAAAGATGGAATTTAAACTAAAGTCCTGTTGCTCATAATTGCATTAGATTGAATGGTCATATAAATCTATGATGTTGCTCAGGATCCAAAATACGAGGACCATTCAAGTTAGGTCGTCATCAGTAGATAAAGAGAGGCGAGCCCACTTGCCTATCGCAGGCACCGGTAACCGACGCCAATGGCACGGGCTCGTCCGGTCTACTTCATTAATCAAAATGACGTGATGGCAAATGGTGCTGGTGGCTGTATGCATGTGTGCAGCTTTGTTTATTGATGAACAAAGGATGATTCCAGCAAGGAGGGGTGAACTCCAAACTCGCGAATGCTGACGAGTATCTAGAGCTGACCATAAGCGCAATTTGTACGGTAGAGGTGATAGCACTCAGCCGCCAAGCTGCTCAGCAGTAGAACATTTGAGTGGTTTGGATGTGACAATTTCTGAGACGCTCTTAAGTCTATCTCTCCGTCAGGTGTCTGCATATGGGTCGTAGTGATTGCCTGGGTCTTCAATTCATGTGACAGCAGTCGTTTCTGTGATAATTCGGTCGGTCTATCTGATACTGGCCACCCAGTCACCCGTGATGGGGCAAAGCTGTACAAGGCGATTTGGGGTTATGAATGCAGCATAAACCTTTGCAATTTTGGAAATTTGGTGCATACATGGTATGAGGACAGATTGCATCGCCGATAAGGAGGTGAAGGAAGCAGTCTGTTTCAGGTGACCTTAACCATACTGGCAAATCCTTCCGCACGTCAACTGCGAAATCCAGGAATTATTTAATCTTAAAGATAGGTGTGCGGTTCTATCAGATGTAGCAGGAGACTCTGTGCGGAAAAAGGAGATATATTTTGTGTCTCTGTTTGACTTGAAGCCCTCTCGAATTATTACCGATGGAGAGAAAGCCAAAAGCCAATCTTTTTTGGCAAATGAAGTACGCTTAAACTATTCTTGCTTTGATTTGTCTTTAAAAATTATGAACCACTACTTAATTTCAAATTTTATCAGTCGAGTGCCTTCAAACTTGTTGCACAAATCGACAGGTTGTAATTTCTAATATTCACAATTAAAGTAATATCCAACTTTCACGCAATGTAGCGTGATTTTCACAATTAAACATACACCTTGATGTCGTGGTATCGAGAAGTAGCAGCATTTAAAGTGATTCTCCTTCCAACGTACATCTTTTTGACACATCAACAAATGGAATCCCTCGAGTAGTCCGATGAGTACTGAATTCTAACTGAGCCAAATCCTCAGATGGATATATTGGCCTCTACAATACTTTCTTACCATATGTCAACTTGGTCTCAGCTGAGTCCTTCCACATGAAATCCGACTAGCCATCGAGATTAACGTAAGCTACTTGAAGAAAACTTCTCACACAAAATACCGACTCGTGTATTGCTTTCGCTGTCTGCGCAGCTGCATTTATCTCATGAAGGAAATAGCATTCCCCAATAAAACGTATTTTTTTAGAATGATTTCTTTACAAATAGAATTTAGTTAGCAGTAAAATCTTGTAGTGCTCCTAGACTTCTTTGCAGACGAGAGAAGCATAAAACTCGACCTGAAGGTGTATTGTCGACGTGCGGTGGGACTTGAATCTACTGATATGGCCTAGTGGCCAGATCGTCCGAAGGAGGTGGCTGGTTACCAAAATCGAGAGTTAGGTAAGCAATTAGCGTATTGCATTGCTCCTCTCCTCTTTTGAGCATCGTCCTCGATGCTTCTAAGGTCAACCTTACGCGTTCGCCATCACATCGCACTCGGTACTATAAGGAAAACGTCCTCGTGCAAGCCGTGTCAGTCATCGAATTTCCATTCAAGTGAGGAGGAACTTGACTGCATCGTCTCCGATTCCTCTTGACTTTTCCACTGGATCTGGCGTTTTACCCTGTATGGATACTCGATTGGGGTATGGGGGATTGTGCTGGCCAACACGCATATCCATCGCTAGTCCTAGGACCGATGGTCTGAATGCGGAGTCATAAAACATAGGACGTAGTTCAGCATAATTTCGTGAGATAAGGTTTCGTGCTTATTTCTCCTTGCCAATTTGTTCTCTCTTTAGTGCTGGCCAGCCATATCTATCTGAGCTCCATCAAGCTGATAGAGAAGTGGAGGAGGTATCTCGAGTTCACATAATTGCTATTTTTGTACAGGAACAGCAGACAGCTCCGTAACAAACCTTTCCAGTTGGTTCACGGCTAGTGCCGCACCAATTGTTAATGGCCTTCCTGCAAACCGCAGGGAAGGGGTAGTTGTCGAAGGTAGATGGCACTTTTAGCCCTTCTGTTAGGGATTGTCACCGATCTACACCTCCGCAGTGTTTCCGCTTTTGCTGCGCAAAGGTTTAGCACCCGGCGGTAAAAATCAGGCTCACTTTCCGCTACCGTCAATATAGCGCCCCGAGACTTCTCTAAAGACGAGAGAAGGCATAATACTCGGATAGAATATGCATTTTCAACATACAAAAGGGGATTGGGTCTACCGGCAAGGCTCAAGGGGTCAGAGCCCTTGGCGAAGGGACAGCGGCGGAGCACCAAAGCGGCTCCTTTATCAAAACCGGGGGTTAAATAAACAACCGACCTATTACAGTCCAGTGAGATGATCCCCTTAAAATAGGGCTAATTCACATTCACGCAAAAAACCACAGTGATTTGGTTTACAACCAAAAGGGTATATTATTGCTTAAAAATTCGGCATTTTTTCAAACTCCTTTCGTAATTAACGAATTATTATGCAATGCGTTTGGAAGGAAAAGAATGACTAGACGTCATAGACCTACTCTTTGCGATTCACGCTTTCACTTCGTGAGTCAATTTTTGTTGCCTACGGGATTTTACTCCGTTGGGCACAAAAAACGCGCAACTTTACCCCAGTTGCAGTAGCACGGGCATGCCAGCGCAGAGTTGGCAGGGGACGCAATAATTGTGTTCCAAAGTCATTTTGGCGTGGTACAGGAAAAGCGTAACCGACTGTTTTGATTTGCAACTTTTCCGGAAAAGTTTTATTGGCGAGAAGGAGTAGTCTGTTTCATTTTTTACTACTTTGTTAGAAATTTGTCTTAAGGTGGATCTACTGCTGCATTGCTTGCCGTTTATATCAGACTGTCATTCAAAAAGGGTTTTCTTTTTTTCACTTCGACAAGGCATCCTTCTAAGTCCCACCGATATGTGCTGAGCAGGTGCGTCGAAATCTCAGATTCACTACTTGTTTTTCGCACATTCTGCCGCCATCGTCTTTGATCCACTTTGGATGTAAAATTGCACGGAAGTGATTTTACTGGTTAACCCTCACCAGCTAAGTAGTAAGCCATCCATTTCCAAGGGCTCTGTGTCAGGTAGACGATATCTCGAACCTTTAAACCGCCCTTCGTTGCAATGAAAACAGGTTAATTTTGAATACCCCGGTCGTTCGGTACCACCGTTTAATCAACGAGGAGTGGATTGCCAGCATTCATCAGCATTCTAATGTTAAACGCTTCTTGTATCAGCGGTGACGTAGTGATTTGTCGTGTGTATTAGAACGATTAATGTCCCAGCCTTCAATAGATGTCCTATTCCTTTGCACCTAAGCCTCAGGATGTGGCCACGTTGGAAGGTGTTTGCCCTATTTATGGACAAAACTGGGGGTTTATTTATATTTATCTATGCCTCTATATCGCAAAGGTAATGTTATGACTGCTTTCTTTTTACAAAACTGGGGTTTATCTTTAATGGTGCCATGTTAGCACGCATGTTTTCAGCCTTAGAGGAAAATCGGACACCGTGGTTAGGAGCTTTGCTTTGGTGTGCCAAAAATGCCAAAAAATATTATTTCTGTCAAATTAAAAACATTCTATATCTATTTAATCCATTAATGATACGATTTGGCGCAACCACTTATCACAAACTGATGAGGGACACGTGTCACACATGTGTGACGTCCTAAAGTTAAGGTAGGAGAGAACCTATATGGGTGATATTTTGAACAACCGTTTTGACTGATTCTGCAGTTTATACTTTTAAAATTATCGAAGAAGTTCTATAAAAGAAATTGGACTCTCCATATTTACTGACATATTACTTTTGGGCGGTATTGGAATTGACAAAACTCCGTTTTTCTTTTGTGTGTATATTGTTAACAGTTTTGCAAAACTGTGAAAGATAAACATCAATACCTCAATCAGGTTTAACTGTTCGACATTTTTGTATGAGATCTTGTACCTTAGATGGCACTTAATGGGGAAAAAACGTTGACATTGATTGGTTGATTTGTAAATTATTAGGGATTTTTTAATCGGGGAATTTGAGCCATGACATTACAGAGTCAGAAAACAAGATCATTTGCATCGTGGAGAAATAAGTTGACAACAAATATATTACTTTTACTCGGCATTTCTGATGTTATCCAAATGTGTTCTTACTTATTTTCACCTATCACTAAATAATGAAAAGTAGCATGATTATGGACACAATATTCGTGACATGTTTCACTCACTTAAATTGTCAAAATTGGACACTTGTACCAAAAGTGCCACAAAATTTGACATGCCTTGCGCACAAGTTTAACACCTCAATGTACGCGTTGCTTAAAATACGTTTTTCAGATAAGTTCCAAGCAAGGGTGTGCATTTCTCTCGACCGCAAACCTTCGTGTGGGAGCCTGGGATCACTCTGATTGCGACAAAACACGGATAGGCTTCGGTTGTGAGGTCCCATTGAATTCTGTGTCGTCCCTGAACTCCACTATCCGCCTTGAGGGTGCTCAACCCGCCTGGACTAAGGAAAATAATGCAGCTGGCCAGATTTGCTACTTGGGCACGTGCTATCGTCTTCTTCCAAGCTTTCCTATGGAACTTGGATTCGATGAGGCAAAGGAGTTATGCGGTGATGCTGCAGTTGCTCTGCCACGTAACCCTCTAGAACTGATATTCCTCGTAGATCGTCTAGCTAATGCATCCGTGTCAACCCGCGCTTGGATTGGGGTTGAGGTCACAAACACCCAGGTATGTGATATAGCTACTCCTAAAAACTATTGTTTAAATGCTACTGAAAACTTATTTATTCGTTTTTAAATCAGGATCGATTAGAGTTTCCAAGAACCTCCTCTGTGACGCCCTGGCTCACAGCGGCCATCCATCGCTCTCATCCGGCTTTTCTCATTCCACCATCCAATCAATCAGAAACCTTCTGCCTTCAAGTACACGTCAATTTCACCTCCACCTCGCCTTTCCTCGTAATGCCTTGCGTGGGTGATGATGATGAAGAAGCGGAGGAGGAAGAAGACGCTACCTTGGTGACGGCCTTTTGTGCCACTCCAGAGCCGTCATATCCTGGAAGCTGTCCTGATGGTGAGGGTAGTGGTGAAAGTGTGGAATGGCATGCATTTGGTGACAAGTGCTTTGCAGTCATGAGAGACTGCGAGGGTGACTCGGTACCGGCAAGTTTGAAGACGCCAGAATTGGATGCTTTTGCCGCTTGGCTATTACCTTCCAATCTCCGTTCTGGTACGGATTTTTGTCATAAATTCTATTTCTTATTCACCCTATTGCCCTGGCCACAGCTGGTTCTAAGCAGCTGAAATAGTCCTTACATCCAACAATACCGCTTTGGACCACAAGTTTTTCAAAATAATATTGCTGTCTTTCAGCTGCAGTTTTCAATTCAATGTTAAATTCACTGGTATACTACCGCCTACCTGACTAGTTTGGATCCAAGAGTAAAGTAATTATAATGCTATTCCTCAGACTACCGAATCTCCATAACTAATAGTACTCTTGTTGGCAATTATTTCTTGTGATTTTGAGCTGTCATTAGTGTTGTGTCATCCGCCGTATATCCTCAGATTTACGTTATATGATCATAAAGAAGGTTTTCTTCCATCATTGTGATGGTGTAGAGGCTTCAAGTCCCCCAACTTAATACAGAGCGAAAATGAGGTGCTTTAGATTGTTTGACCTCACACATATTTTGTCTAAGATGATTCCATGAGTTTTTTGATAAAAACTCGGTAGAATAACATAAACACTGCCAATTTAATTACCTTAATACAATTTTCCGCTTAACTAATGTCTTAAATAGTAACAAACTTCGCTAAAAGGCGTAGCAAAATAGTAGTGTGCTTTAATTATGAAGTTACTCAAATGCACCCAAAAGAGCTAAAGGTGATTTGAATTTGGGCCAGTCGTCCTTGTCAAGGTGGGTTTGTGTAATCGGTACTTCCTGTACCCCCATTTACACCTACATTGCGTGGTTTTCGTGCGCCTTGGATGTTGGTACTGAACCGAGTACACTTTAAAAAGCCTTTTAATTTACTTTAAAATCTCCGTTTATATTTACGCACTGATAGCCTCCCGATTCATTAGTTAATCATCCAGGAATTCTACAAGTTATGCAAACTTTTATCTCCTTTTCCTTATCCTAAAAAGGCTTATACTGTCCTGCAAAATCAGACTCATGAGTACTCTACCCACGTAGCCTCGACGATGCTTGAATACCGTAGGAAATTTGTTTTTAGATGACACAAAAGATATGTAAAATCATTTCATGGCGTAAATTTATTTCTAGATGACGAGGTACTCATTGGTGGAATCGTAAATACAACCTCACCATTAACAATCACCTGGTATGTTTGCCTATAAGATCACTCTACTGCTAATCTCACTAAAGTGAGAATTGAGTGATGAACTTCATTTTTTACAGGCTTGATGGGTCCGTTACTGAGGGATTTAACCGGCTCAAGCCATCATTTCTGCAACACCCAGTCTCCAGAGACGGACTCTGTTTGGCAATCCAGCCAGGCTCAGGATGGTGGGTTTTGCGCCAATGCAAAGGACAAAGCGCTCCTCGCCTAACCCTTTGCAGCATTCCTATAAAACCTCAAAATCATACCACTACCATCGGTCCCCCCGTGCGTGAGTCTGAGTAAGCTGCTACTTCTAGTGAATCAGTGATTTGCTTTTGGGCGCTCACTGGATTTATCGAATGAAAAAACTCACAGACCAATGTGTCCAGAGGACTACTTCCCTCATCACCGAAACAATGGGTCCGTGGTCTGTTATCGCGTAGTCCTCGGTGGAGCTCGATCCCACGGTCACGATTGGAGAGCAGCTGAACGCGCCTGTAGAGCAGTCGCCTTGGGCGGAGATCAAAAAGTTCGTTGGCGAGGTAATTTGGCAAGTTTACCGAACAAGGAAACCTCTGACGATGTCATTGCTCTGCTTCAACAGAACGCCTTTACGGTGGGAATATGGGTAAGCCTCTCTAACCAAAGCATTTTCGCCCATGCGTTTGAGTGGCAGCGACATTGTATTCCATAAATAGGATGGAACAAATAATCTACCTGCGCATATGCTGAGACCCTCCGAGTTCATTTGGCTTGGACTTTCAAAGTCGGAGGACAAACTCTTCTGGAACAATTGGACTGATGGTTCCACTGGAAATCCTACATTTTACGATAATCGCACCCGCCAAAATCAATCATTTTTCTCCGACAGTTCTGGCTATTTCTTTGATTACGGTACCTGTATTGCATTGCATCTGCTTTCAGGTTAGTTTTACCATGCTCTGTGAGCTAAATGAAAAAACCTCTATTGAGGATAAAAGATAGGTCCATTCGCCTTCAGGCTACTGGTACCCCCTGAGGTGTACCCTCGATCTGGGCTATATTTGTCAAGCGACTTTAGCTCCTGATAGCGAGACAGAAGGTGGTGTTGACCACTTTGACATCCCAAGTTGTCTCATCTCGTCAAAATCACGAAACGCCGGTCCTTCTGTTGAGACTGGTTTCATCCATGACCCTAATGTTGACTGTGTTGTGCCAGGATTTACCTATTTTAATGGTCAATGCTTTCGAGTGAGTTTAGATTTCGCTCTATATTCATTAAAATTCCTTTTAAAAAGTGATAACCGTGGTCTAGAAGTAGTGACGCTTAGCCTCTACAACACCCAAACAATTATGAAAGTTTGACGAAAAATATTACAGATATCGTCTCCCAATATAATTACCTAAAGTTAGGTACCAGTTGGTAATACGATAATTTAAATTGGATTGAATTTGCTCATAGACGTTCCATGACAAATTCATGACATTTGCGGAGGCGCAGGCCCACTGTCACGACATCGGTTCGCCGTACTCTCGCAACGGCAAAGCCGGCCTGGCTATCTTCCGCTCAGAGGCTGATCAGCGTACGTCCACGCTACTTTTTTGACATGAGTAGAGTGGTCATCCATCCACAGTGGAGGCTAAATCCAAGATTTCGATAGTAGCATTTAAATTTGAATCACACGCCGTATTCAGACTCTCTGCCATGGATTTTGATGGATTGTTCATACCACACCTTTCGACGAAGGAGTCAATTTGAACGAGTTAAGAGCTATATTTTAATCCTTGCCTTGTCTCCGGTCTTACTACCTTATTCATCCTTTCACAGCTGTGAAGGAAGGTATTTACTCGGAACGATGGTACTTACTCAGGAAATGCCCATTTTCGTAGCCTCAAAGACAGTGCAATGTGTATTTATCCACAAATAGTCTTATCAATAGTAGCGCAGACCACATCATTGAAGTGATAGTCGGCTTATGCAAGACTGAAAATGCTTGCGTGTTCAAACATAGTTAGAAAATTACTATACTCTTTGACCTTTCCCCTCCTCCCAATACATCTTCTGTGGTGCCTCTCTTAGTCACTCTTCTACTTCAGCTGTCACAGGGTCTCCAATGAATCATAACTAACAAATGAAGATGATACGATATAAGGTAGTTGGTCGAGGTGGTATTTCTTGATGTCACGTCTTCTGTTGGGCGAAATGCGTCAGAGAGGCATCCATTTGGGAATTAATGCTGTAGTCTGGTCGATGTTTTACAGTAAACGCATTCTTTATGTCAATCTCATATCACAGTCATATAACACTGCTCTCCTAACAATGGTGTGAGCATCCCCTTAAGGACTGTTTCGATTCTTTTAAACCTGTTTTCACTCCATTGGTGGCAAGTAGACAGTACTTAATACTGAAGTTGTCGCTGAAATTCGATACAATTTTGATAGCTATACCGCTTTAAACCTCTGCAAGTTCAGCTACTCATTAAAGACGCCTTTTTCATGATGTAATATTCAGACATTGCAATCGGGATCGTTACAATTTTTGAATATCGGCCTATCACTGATACCATCGTGGTGTCCGAGCTATCCTTGAAGTCATTATCTAGCGTACAATTTCGGCAGTAATGTGCACAGAAGGGTTGCCAGAATAGTAGCATGGTAGCACCATCTTGGTCTTGGTCCACTTTTAGTTCACTTATTCCCAAGATTGACGTATGTAGTGATGTTACTTCAGTGTTTGTGGCTAGCCAATTGTCACGTCTGCCGCGGATGCCAGCCTCCCCCGGGTTCTACGGACGCGGATCAGCAATTTACGACCGACTGGAGGTGATTTGGCGACGCTATCATTGGGTCGGTCTCTTCCACTATCGCCACACTTTCCATTCCGTTGATGAGCGGGTGCCCTGCTACATTGCGCATGAGCTCAACCGAGTAAGGACTGCTTAAAATATTACTGAAGTTAACAAGACTATATTGTAGTCCAAAAGGATACTCTATTGTATCGTAAGCATTTTCTATCCGCATTATCGTCTGTCGAGCGCTATAGTGGTTAGTTTTTTGGAATTGTGCTAGTTTGGAATCTAAGCGTGATCCTCGGTTCTTGGTGGAATCAGCGATGACGCCCCTAAGTTGGCATGCACGTTACCAGCGTCACTCATTGGCGAGATCTCGATTCTTGTGCTTGAAGCTTGCGTCACACATATATGGCGGCATGTTCTCTTTGTCGGTTAACTACAATTGTGGTCGGGAGAAAGCTGAGGTGATCAAAGGTTTTAACAGAATTTCATTTATTTTTCATAGAAATGTTGGGAAAAGTGTGGTTTCATTGGATTGTTGTTTCATGACTAATAAGAAAAAAAATTTGGACTAATTAATCCAACTTTTGTACTCTGTTATACTTTTCATAATGCTTAAGAATATCAATACAGTTACCAATTGCTAATATTTATGCAGTTTATGGTACCAGTTGTGGCCCCACAATAGCCGACTGGAGAGAGATCAAAACGCTTAGCGAAGATGTGGCATATTGGAGGTCTCCCCCGCATTATGGCAGACAGAAAACCTATAGATATAAGGGTGGCTGTGTTTAAGAAGGCTAGGACCGGTGACTGGGGCCCACCACTATCAACATCTTTGAGAGGGAGAGGCAGAATTGCGAGCGTCTTTTTCATGTTGATCCCATGTTGTGACTGCGGTTTTCTATACCAGGTGCTACCCCATCGCTCCGGGTTTCGCGTCTTCTCGTTGACAAGATACTTTTCCCATAACTACACAGTGTTGCGTGCATACACACAGTCAATATTACTATCATAGCCTGTCCTATTGAGTCATGGTGTCTGGACCGGCTTACGGCATGTACATTGGCAGCAGACTGGTAATAGGGTGCACCTGATACTCAATATTGTATATAGTACCGTGATGGCATTCTTTGTAGGTTTAAAATCAAGAATTTTGGTTGGAGTCGAACGCCCTTTGTAAGATTATCATCAGCTGTTCAGTGAGGGCAGACATAAACCACCTGCAAGGCTATCCAAACACCTAATTTCTGAATTTAATAGCCGCTGGCCTCGTCAGCCGGGGGTCCGCTGTGCGTTTCTATTACGGGTGTTCCCGACACAGAACACTTTGCGAGTCTCACTTTCGACATCGGCTGCAACGAGAGTCTCCCATTTGTCTGCTCGTTCGAGCCCTCACCGACCCGTTTGACGACAAAATCTTCCACCTCAGTCTGCCCCAAGGGATATGCTACTCACAATGCTGCCACTGGTAAGCATCGTTACTTTGGTAATGCATTGATACCACCTCAGAACCACCTCGTTTCCCCATTGTTAGGTGCTATCTCAGTAGTATAACCGATGGAAAGTTGAGTCACTTCAAAGCACGACTGAGTAAGCTACTGAATTGAGTTAGGATACCTTTTTATTAGCATAATAGTAAGAAGGCTCGATTGCTTTGAATCACCTAGGTTTTAATCGTGCCTTCATTAGATAATCGCTGTTTAATTAATGTAATGGTGGAAGGTTTTTGTTACTTTGGAGTATTGTTCTGCGGTTGAAATGATCCTTACATTAGTACATTTTCCTTCGCTGATGGATTCTATTTCAGTAGCATGTCGAGAGAGTAACTTTGCTATTTTGAAGCACTCTGGAGATGAAGCATCGTCTCCATCGGTAGGGGCTAGTCCAGGAGTCAACGGAGAGATTAAGCAACGTGAAATACTGAATATCGGTTGTGTCAAACTAGTAGTCTAAACTCCGGTCTCGCTTCTCACAAGTTACTAGATTAAATGTGGCAACTTTTTGGGAATGCTGTTGCTCTCTTGAACTCCAGGTGACCACTGTTATCGATTTATGGGGGAGTGGATGGGGTCCTACGAGGAGGCCACGGCAATGTGTGCCCAAACCGCTGCTGGAGCGAGATTGGCGGCTCTAACAACTCCCTTCACCGTTGCGTGGATGCGCGCCCACCTTCCTTCTGATTACACCGCCACTGGTAAGAAGAACTCGTTCTCTTTTAACTTCTGGAAGCAGTGTGGCTTTGCGTTCATTTTGAATTGCTCTAATTCTTGGCCTAGGATACTTCTGGTCCCAGGATAAGCATACCTTTATTTGTTGAAGAAGCAGAAGTAATGTCTGCCAATGTCGCAATAGGACACCACTTCCCGGCTGTGGTGGTCTTTTTCCATCTGTTGAATAAGATTATCCAACATGCTAAGATAGTGCGGAAAAGAATGCTCATCATCAACGTTGGGCGCTCGCATTGTGGCGAAACTAATTTGTCATTCAACTACCGCTAGCCCTCGCTGGTTCAATACTTTGCCCACTGTCGCCAAAATGACTTTAATGTAGCTGACAGTACTTTTTAAGCCAAAGCTTTGAGTAGTACCAGATCCAATCAGCTTCACCAGTGATTGTATACTGCCAGTCGGTGACAAACACCTACTTTACGTTTTTTCAGTCACCCATCTTCAAATGGCACTATTGCCAACTCGATTTCTCGTATCACTTGCGGGGCTCCTGACTAAAATATCCCAGCAGATGGCCTGACGGAACTACTCATTTGCGCTTTCTTCCTTAAGGTATGCTACCATGGGAGTCAGTTCCACACTGGATTGGCTTGAAACTCCGGGCGCGTGATGAATCATCGTGGCGGTGGGCCAACGGGCTTCCAGTGACTCACACGCGCTGGTCCTCTCAGCCAGTCGATGTCGTGAATTCGGCCACGGACATGTGCTTTGCTTTTGCAAAGGTGAGTGCAAGATCACTGAAGGCTGAGGCATCCGCTACCGACGTCCCGGAAGCAGATTAACCACCGCACTCTTAAACTGGCTAAACCGACTGCTCATCCCAGAAGTGGAATTATTCCCATCCTCGTCGGGAAAATCCGCCAAATTTTTTGCCGTTTTAACCTTAATCCGTTTCTGACGCGCGACTTGGTGCGTCACAAATATATGACGCCAGGTAGAAATGGGAATTACGGCGTTGCGTATGTGTAACGCTGTTATAGTTTTCATCGAGGCCATCATTCACTTTTATTTTTTTTTCTAAATTCGCGTACTACGCAGTTATGCATTAGGGTTACTCTGTTTGTGCTGCATCTATCGCATTACCCCTGAATACGCTATAGGGTGTTTATCTTTGCCAATGACCTCACTATAGCCATAAAAGGGTCAGCGGACGAGTAGGTGTAAGTGACGTGGCTAGAAATCTATCCCTTGGCCTTAGAGCTCGAGTTATGAAAAGTTAAAAGTGCCCACGCAATTGTGTTGACAATAAGACCAAATGCCTTTCTGTTGCATAGGCTTCCTCTTCACCGGGCCACTGTTTTCGGTGTTTCCTGCGGTTGTACCTATATACCAACTATTAGAATGGTATTCAAAGTAATTGAAGTTAACTAGAAAGCAGATGCGATGATAGCACGGTGGATGCCCGTTACCGTGAGAGGGCTTCCGATTTTACTAACAATTGCGTGAATCGCTTTGTAGGAGGTCAAGTATAGTCTTCCTTTCCATTTGACGCCATCTTAATACTAGCCAGCCGCCTATTTGGGATGACATCAATCCTTATTCTGGACTTTGAGCGGTCTGGTACTAATCAAGATGCAAAACTTATAAGTGGAGTGATCGAGACGGTTTTTTGAGCTCTTCTGTGGTGAAGCTCTGCAGATTTAACCAATCACAGATGCCTTTCCTGTCAAGATCGTGTGTGCTAACTAACTGTTCCATTTAGACCTGAGCCTTATTTGTTGCGTCAGACGAAGTTGCCACATGGACGGTGTTGGGGACAGCCTACCGCGCTGTAACCAATTTTGTCCTTAAGCTAACTCCGAGTATTCACTTTCGAGCGGATTAGAGGCGTTCCATTATGATAAAAAAACGAAGACACATTAATGTAGCTCAGTTCAGGCTCTGTGTCCATTTACCTTCTTACAAAGAGGAATAATTCATATAGCCACTCAAATGTCACGTCTAAATCCTTTTTGAGTGTTCATCGCGTCACCATCATCTCTCTTGTAGGGACGTGTGCTTTGCGAATTCAGCGTGATGAGAGGGAACTTATTCCTATTTCTTGTAATGCAAAACAGGCGACAGACGATGGAGTGTAATCCGTCTATCATTAGTTTGACACTGTGTCTTCGTTCCAATATGACTTCGCTGCCTCGTTTCGGAATATCGCTTTACACCAGCTAGCCTTTTGCTGATGTTATACTTGGGATTGTCTTTGGAGAGGCAACGAACGCCGTAGCTATCCGTCGCTTCTTTGAATTCTTCGCAAGCAAAGTAAACCTTTTAGGGCCATTTAACACTTAAGCTATTCCTAGGGTTGGAATGCCTTACACATACAACCTATATTCTTTCGTTTCTAGTCTATTTCGATGACAAGCTATGAGTTGGATATGATCACTGTGAACTGCTCACGACGTCTGTCACCATTGTGCGAGGCCGATCCCCTTGTCGAGCTTCCCATTTCTATGTCAAAACCAGACGAAAGCTACTTGGCGGCCGACCAACACGATTACATTGGACGTCTTGCCAAGTCGGCATCGGGGAAAGCGTAAGTGAACGAGCGAAATATTTCAGTGTTTGTGTTTATATCCTCGAGGGAACGGTACAGTCTTCCGAAAATGATGACTTTTATGTAGGTTTACAAACTTGTGACTCTTGTGACCACCTAATTCACAGGTCAGGATTTATTTTTAAAAGTTAAAATATGCGTTGAAGTAGGACGCATTGCAACTTGTAGGAGCTTGTGTAACACGACTGCTTTTGTGCACTTTAAAGCTTAGTTATTTGTCCGTCTTGCATTACGGTACTCTTTATTGTGCTCCCTACAAATTTCCCCACACCTCATAATTTCAGTCGAACTAGATATGATTCAAGCCTGCCCCTGAAATTTGTTGCATAACACGCGGAGAAAGTGTGTTGACGTAACTTTCGCACAGGATAGGTTTTACCTAACCGACCAGGTAATGGTTCATTTAAAGATAGAGGTATCGCGTTGGGGAGGACTCTCTACTCATTTACGAGAACAGTGGAAAGTGATTGGAGACTGCCGTATCAAGACCGGCTTTTAGTAGTGGTGAGCGAGGGTGACGATGAAACAATGGGCTTACAGTTAAATAAACTGCGGAGGGAGAGGCGTAGACACTACTGGGCCAGTGAGTGTCTCATGCTGTGTGTCGTGTGTTAATTGATGACAGCGGCTTCTGTTCCTCACTTCTTTCACGTAAGCTGTAAAATACACTGTGGATTTTAGATCGTTTGTTGACTTACTGACTTGTGATTAGAAATGGATTTTATGTTCCAACATTCGATGATTGGTTGTCCCCAAACGATCAATTCACTTCCAAATCATGCAACACCCCATAATCAGAAGGCTAAGCTTTGTCTGTGTGGGTGCGTCTTGGCAGTTGACTGCAGACGGAGTTGATAACTAGAAAGTTCTTTCATGAGGCTCAACAATAAGTGCTGCTGCTGCTGTTTATCTACTTGACGCATCTGAAACCACCGGGGCTAGTCAATCAGTAGGAGGAAAGTCCCACTCTCATTCTTACCACAAAACGCCCGACCTCATGTCTCCCATTGCCATCAAGCCTACTCGTGAGAAGATCTACACTCTGGGATAGAGGAGAGGAAGAGAGGGAGACACTCTCTCATCCTTATCTCATTTCCCTTAGTCCCTTCGTGTTTCGTCGGTCATCACCTTTTTTAGCATTGGGCATTCACTCGCGAAATCTCATGGACAGCTGAGACGTCTACGAATGTGTTGTCAAAATATTGTTAAAATAAAAAAAAGGAATGGCCAGAGTGATCTGCTAGCGGTTTTGGCTAATGGAACTAAGTGCGGTAGAAGTCACTGTACAGTAGTGAAATATTTAACAGATTTAAACCTTTTAAAAACGGATTTATCTCCGACTATTATTGTGAAGTCCTTAGCCGTGGTGGTTTCTAATATTCCCAGCCAGCAGTATGGTAGCCACTTCGATTCGTGGAACGTTTGCATGATCCTGGGCGCCAAGTTGACGTATAACTTATCGTATGATGGAATTGATCAGGAAACGAATCATGCAGCACTCCGAGGCGTCTCTGAAGACTGATGAGGGCATTATACTCGGATAGAATATGCATATTCTGCATGGAGTAGGGCATGGGGCTACTCTCATGACCCGAAAGGCCAGCCCACCCGACGCAGGTAGAATGACAAAGCACCCAAGTAGCCCCTTTATCAAAACCGAGAGTTAAACAAACAGTAGACGTATCGCATAGCCCCTCTGCCCTTTAGAGCGTCGTACCTGGCGCTCCCCTTGGTCAACCGCCGTGCCAGCCATCACAATGCGATCGGTGCTGCAAGAAAGACACTCACGAGCCAATCGTGCCGGTTATCAAATATCCATGAAACTGAAGCGATACTTCATTGCAACGCCACGGATCTCTTGTGGCATTTCTGCTGGATGTGGAGTTTCAACCTCTATGCGAACTGTATCGGGGGACAGAGGATGGAGGTAACACTACCATTTGAGAACAATGGGAATTTTAGGATTCAATGGGCTGTGTCTGTTACAGCATGTGGGTTTTCGCAGGACGTTTCAAAACTCCCTGAAATTCGTTTATTTCAAACGGTAAAACCAAATAGTCCCGCTTTGGCTTGAATGACATTGGTTTAAATGGGATTTTGAGTAATGAAGCTATGCCTGAATCCACGGGGAGAAGAGCAAACAAAATAATGGGTTTCATCCTTATTTTCCCTCAGATGCATTCGTTGGGATTTAATCTCCCCAACTAACACCAGCGAGATGGACGCTCTTCAACGCGCCTTCCACAACTTTACCCTAGCCGCCGTTGCCGCGGCGCTGGACGTCAACTCAAGCACAGATGGAGACATTTACTCGCCAGCTTTTCAACCAGTCTTTAGCTCCGTCTGCAATTGGTGTCGCAATCCAGCAAGTCTCCGTGATCATGCCTTCTGTTACATAGACGTTGACAAGTGGGAGTTCTGTACCCTCCCACCACCATCAATCTCGTCATCTCCCTCTTCTCCTTCCACATCTCAAATTCGCACCACCCTGCCGTTCTCGGTGATCTTTTCAATTGTGGTCATCTTCCTTGGTGTTTTCTTCCTCTTCCCCCTCTGCCTTCTGTTCATCTTTTGCCTTCATCGCAAAAGTCGCACAGGATGGGTTTCAACTTCACCGGTGCAGGAAATACTGTTGCAACGGCTGCCATTTTCATGGCGATGGCGGTGGTCTAGAACGGCCAGTCAGCCCTGCCTACTTGCAGACAATGTTTCCTATAGCGCTGGAGCTGTGCAGGAGGATACAATCAGAGATCCAGCCGCCTAGTCTGACCAACCGTTGCCTTTTGGAACGGCGGATAGAAGAGAGGAAAAGAGATAATAAGATAATGTGCGCCATATGCATTTTTGCCAGTGTCTTGTGTTCTCATTCTGGGTTGACAAGATGATGTTGTCTTATGAAATATGGAAGGTTTGATTCATGCGAGAACCAAGTCGGATAGCTGTCTTCCATTTGTTGATAGTCTAGGCAATGCATTCCGGTAAGGAGTTGTCTGTTGTGATAACTAGTGGGGAATATTTTGTTTTTACACGATTTCCTACCGCCTTTCCTGCATAAATATCTAATGACTGCTTTGTTTAGGACTAGAGTTATGGAGCAAGTCCCTGTTCATTCCTGTTCAAATGTCCCCCGGTTTACGAGGTCCATTAATTTACCTCCAGCTCATAACTACTGGTAAATGCAAAGTACAAAGTGCTCTACACATATGTTTGTTCGTATCGTTCATAAAATGGAACAGTTCAACTCAACAGTTGCTGTGCAAGTGGGATCCGCAGGCCTGTGCCTCGTTTGGAGAGAATGGCGATTGTTTTGACTGCCAGAGGTTTTTAGGGAACCTTTTTGCTGTCATATGTGTTAACATTGTTAATGTCTGACCTTGTTAATCGAGGGAGTCGATTTGCTTCCTGCCATGCATTCTAGAAGTACCGGTTTCTGTTCAGATCTACTGATTTTCACGCATGGGCAAATGGATCCTTCGAAGTGGGCGTCGAGTAGAATGCCAAGTGTTGGAGTGTGAAATGATTTTTCCTCACTTTTTCGGATTCAAATACGGAGTGCCAAGCACTGTTTGCATCGTAGGGGTCTGACCTTAAGTGCCCCTTGCTTGGAAGGCGACCTTCGACGTCAACTTCACTGGCTGGAACTATGTGCTTTGCAGGGCAAAGGGGTTTACTCGGTCGTGAGTGTGAATTCGCTTACTTGAATTTCTGCTGGGAAATAAATGGGCGATGGAGGGGAGGTCGACCGTTGCCATTCGTGGCACAAGTCAATCATGATCATTCCTCCTACTTTCAAGAAGACGTAAGTGGAGTGATGGAGAGCAATTCAAATTCAAATGCAGGCCAGCATTGTCCGCCTCTCGTCGACTGCTATCACTGCAACAAAACAAAATAACGAGAGACAGTAGCCAAGGTGGGTCATTGCAAGGTCATCCCCGATAACATGCGGTACAAAAGAGGGCTGCTTAAGCTGTGGGTGAGAGCCGAATTTAGAACCGAGCGAACGACACCTTTTGCTCTCTATCGCCCCCTCGTATCTCCTCGCTTTTAGTTAATCGGTGCCAGGAGGGTGGAGACAGACACGACTGTAGTAATTGTCAAAGGCGTTATAAGCTATACAACTTTGGAAGTGGTTGTATTGACGTGGAGAACAGTTTAGGGGGCGGCGTTAGCGGTACCCCATACCACCATTGTGGAGGTCGGTTAGTGGTACGCTGACGGCCTTCGCGGTGTTACTAAACATCGTGCAACGAAGTGTTAATGCGGCAATCTGACAAGTAGTCTTCATTCACGGATGACAACTATTTAAAACTGGCCCACTCAGGGGGAGGTGCGTGCATTAAAACGCAATGCTTATTAACAGCTCTCTTAACGACTCACAATATGCTGATTTTCCCAACAGATAAGGGCTTACTTATGACATCAAAAGACGCCTTTAGGCCGGAAGTCTCACCACCAGTTAACAACAACGCCCCAGCCAATTAATGCGAGCTTCACACCATGCGACGACTGAACTTAAACACAGGTGTTGTTACAAGGGGTGGGTGTTTAACTTTTATGGGCACTGACATAACTACGAAAGCTGCCATTATTGGCGCGTTTGTGTCAATAGAATTGCCGTCTTCGTCCCCCACCTCCCCCATTGCCACCGCCGCTGCTGATTCAACCAATGGGAGTGCAGAGCTCCCGTTGAAAGCAATTCTTGCCTCTCAGACCGCGTCGTCACAACTACGGATGGATTACAAGGTCATTGATCGGGTCGGTGACTGCCGATTCGTTCATGGACTTCAATACTCGGAGAAGACCTCTATTAGTGAGGGCATTCACCTGCCTACCAGTGTCAAGGTGATTTGTGTAAATAAGTAGACAATAATTCTTTTTTACTGTTATTCTTATAATTGACCAGTTGCGTTTATAAAACGCTTCGATTTCACACTGTAGGTGGGTTTCAAAGTAGACGGCGAATCCTCATTTTTTACTCACATATGGAAGCCAGTCTGCTCCCTTATTATATTTTACCGTAGATGGTGTGAGATGTGGTTGATTTAGAGTCCTTCTTTTTGTCCTAGTTCTCATTAGTGAGAATGCGTCAACTTCTCGACAATTTCTTACAGGATTTAACGCCTGAATTTTTTTACTTTGGCCTTGCGTCACAAATATGTGACAGTTTATCAGTTTGAGTGTGAGTGTTGAGTGTAAAACCACAAAGTTGACATTGAATTTTTATGGTCTCAACAGAATTTGAATTGGTCGAAGACAGTAATAATGGAAACGAGAACCTCGAGATTGTGGTGGTCGACCCTCTTCTGACATCCGGATAGAGATCATGTTGAGCCGATCTTAAGAACTGAAACACTGCGTCATCTGTTTTACTGAATCACTTTAATGCCTCGCTAACACGTGAAAAAGAAACCAAATTTTGAATTTCTAAGTAGGATTTGGTCCTATCTATGGGGGGTTAAAGGTGATGGCCAAACATTTCTCGGAACCAGGCAGCAAATGTTTCCCCCCACAATAGGATCGGCAAAAAAACCAATCAATTTTAAGTCCTAAAAATGAGTTCCAAAATTGTTTATTAGCGGATAAACGTGCAACTTATTCAAGGCTGGTATTCACAGAAACCAGACGAAACAAAACCGACCTTTCTCTGTCTCATGCAAAAAGAAATGTTTCCCTATAGATCAAAGCTGGGACTTGTTTTATTAAGGTGGAGAGGCAATTTTATTGTCTAGTAGTTTAATACAGATCTACACCCCATGGGTCTAAAATAGTCTGATTCACCATTCTAATTTTGTTTAAATTTTGTAACCCTACCTAAGCAGACAAGGATTCATTACCATTTACTTGAAGGGTGTAGTATGAAATAGGTATTTTCTGTGGATCGCAGTCATGCCATCCTCCAGAAATACACGAATGCTATGTCAACAATTTTAATCGTACTTTTTATGATTTCTTGCCTATTTTCAAGTCAACAGTCTGGTGGTCTAAAATTCAAGGGTAATGGAAGAATCAGGAGTGGATGCCACTTGTTTACATTTCTAATTCCCCTAATGCAGTGGCCTACCACATTGCAAGAAAACGCCAGTCCAGTAGTGTTTACGTGCTTACGTCTACACAGAAGGGGGAAATGAAAGCTCCCCTGAACGACATTCGGACGGATTTAAATAAAAAATATTGCAACACACTTCCATAGTTCACTTAAAGCCGAATTTTATTGGTTACTCGTGTCATCTTCACTACAGGTGAAGAATATGAAGTGTGGTGAAGAATTCGGTAAGTGACTAGTGAAAATGGCGCCAAATTTGCCGCAAGTGATATCCTATGTCGGCATTTTGGAGTAACTCACTTTATTTATCCACTACAACCTGACAACCTTCTCAAAATAACTAATAGATGCTTTAGGTTTGATCAAATGCACTCCCGTTTGCATGAAGTCCTCAGTCATCAATATTCACTTATTTCAGTAGCATATTAGTTGAATGACAAAAAATTGTTTTGTCTTTTGTGCTTAAGGTGCGATTGAAAACTGTTCGTGGACAGAACATGGCAGACTACGAGAGGGGTCGGGAGCTCTCACGCGAGGCGACTGTGCTGGCTCGACTTTCCCATCCGAACATCATTCACGTCTATCACCTCGTTAAGGTTTGACCTCCGCCAATAGTGCTATTTGACCTTGACGTTTCTAACTACGCATTTATAACCCTGGTGATGATGATGAAGCTTGATTCCTTTTGACGCCTATTAGCAAACTAGATAGACCTAAATTTTGATCTTGTTTTAAACTATTTACATCGTCGTTAATATTTCTAATGGTACCCCTTGAGGCCAAGGCTTTATTTTCTTAGGCAATGTTGAAATTGTAATAAGCCATAATCTTTCGAAATTCCACCTCCCCACCTCCTTGCACATCCTTTGGTTCCCAGCGGCATCCTTTGTAGTCAGTGTAGTGCTTCGGGACTTCCTTGAAGACGAAAGAAGGCATAATATTGGGGCAGAATGTGTATTTTGACGTACGGAAGTACTGGGAGCTACTGACGTAGCCCAAAGGCCATGCCGTCCACCAAAAGCACAAAAGCAGAGCCTTAAGTTCCTGCGTAATCAAAATGATGAGTCAAACAAACAATCGAAGCAGTACAGTTGAATTCACGAGAGGACAGGCGCCAAAGTTGCATTATCTGCGGACACCTCGAGACACAAAGTAGCGCTGCGCTTGGATGCTCAATCGGCATTCACTCCTGCAGTCGGCAATTGGTCTGAAGGTCCCTTCCAGTAATCGAATGGAATACTGTCAAAGTATGTGGGAATTGGTGACAACCAGGCATAGTCTGGTGGTCGTTGTTGTTGTGTTATTTAGGCAATGTCAATGAATTCCGCACATATCAAGTGGCACAAAGGTAAGCTATAGCATTATGCGGTATCACTAAGAGCATCCACCTCAGATTTTACAATTTTTGACAGTATTGTTGGCCTAATCTGAAAATAAGTGACAAAGGAGAGCCAAAAGTAGGTACTCTTTGTTCTTATACCCCAGCGCTGAAACTACCTGTGCTAGCTTCATGAGACAGGATTGAGAGACTGAAAATCCTTTTACAGGGGCCTGACAATTATCGCTGCTTCAGCGATTTTAGCGGTTATCTCTCGTCTCCATAATTACCCGTCTAAGCATTATGGCTAAATTTGGAAACAGCGAGTCTACTTTTGGATGTAACATCAGGCTTGTTCCCACTTGCATGCGTCCACGAGTCGGAAAGTTAACAATCCGAAAGCAGTGGTTTTGACTTAAAGGGATTTTGCGCAATCAACAGTTTATAACCGTAGGTTTATATTAGATATTGTTTCAGTTTCGTATTCCTGCATTAATGATGTATTGCAAACCATTCTGTTAGCAAGATATGGTGTAGAAAGAGGAAAAATAAGATTAAATGTTGCTTAATTGTTAATTTGGTGTAAAATGGGGACTGAAGTCCCGCTTACCACCATCGGGTTGGCTCAACTACTTAACCACAAGCTTACTAGCGCCTTCATCTTTTTTACTCTTGCGATTCGGTGGACATTCGACTGCTGTAACTTGGTCTTTAGAATCATTCAATGACAACGTCAACTAGAAGCTGGATTGCCATACACTACCACTTTGTCACCAAGTACTTTCAATGCTCAGAACTGCTTGCGGGGAAACCTAGTCTCTGAAAGAATCTTTCGTCCAATACTTTGTTGACTCAAGCCGAGTCTATTTATTGAGAAATATTAGTCAAACCTTTATTTCATGTGCTTTTTCCGTCGGCTGCCAGAACATCGCCCCGACGAAACTGCTCACACGGTCGCCAAGTTTTGGGGTCTATCAGTTTAGACGGCTTTTTGAGAAAAAAAATAACGTTCCATTCATTGGCGATTTCATTAAAAGCCCATGAATGACGCCAGGACTGCAGATATGCAAGACTCTTGGCGCTTTTGGATTTCTACGCACTCGAATTGAAGGCATTTATGGTGGCAAATCAGAATGAGAAATGATACTTTGAGCCTTGAGGCTATCGAAGTAGAGACAGTCTATTTTTGCTTGCCGGCAGCACGCTGATCTTCGAATTCTGGTAACAGAGTGGATTGATGGTCTATCCTTGGAGAACTTAATCCGCCTCTTCTTCCATCGCTGTCTGCCTGAGAGTATCGCTCGTTTCTACTGCCGACAAATGGTGTCCGCGATCATTGCAATGCAACGAAGACACATTCTCTTGAGGTCAGTCAGTCAACCACCACCCTTTGACGTTCAAGTACTTGTTCAATCGTTGAATCTACCACTAAACACCAGCAGTTTTAATCATGTCAGTACCGTGAGAGGTTGTCAAACTACTTTGTAAAAAAGGCGACCCAAAAGGCAGTGCAGAGACATTCTCCTCACTTTAGTTTCGCATTACAACGCCTAAAACTTATGCCGTTTAAATGAAAACATTCTCCTTTTTAGAGAAATCTCCATAAAGAGTCTCGTGATCACTCAGGATTTTCGATGCATCAAATTTACCGGTAAGAAAAAAAGGAAACTTTCCCTCCTAAAACTTTGTTTGAATCCCAAGAAATAAACACTGACGCACTCATAATTTCTAAAAGAAGATATTAACTTTATTTTCGCTCCTTGTTCAATTGAGCATTATAATTGTTTAAGATATCCCAGGATTTGAATCCCTAGCAGAATAAGCGCTGAATCGGACTGCCTCAAGATTCACATCCTGTTGGTGGAATAGCTTCCAATTTTATTTGAACTCCCTAATATATACTTTTTATTAGATTTTGAAAGACTTATCTTAGTAAAGTCTTAACCGATATTCACCCAACAGCACATAAGTAAAGCCCATTTTGTTAATAAATCGGCTCATTCACCCCCAACGTCACACATGTGTGACACACTTTCTTTATCGATTCAAGTTAACTGAGATTAAGTCAAACCAATAAAATAGGTGCAGTGATTTAGTAGTCTGAGGGTAACTACATATTTTAGTTTTAAATTAGCGTAATTTTAAGTGAAATATGCCTCTTCTGGTCTGTAGTTGTCGGTCTCCCTGCCACCACACTACATTTATGGTATTATATGTCAAAAGCGTCACGACGTAGTCTCATTTCAAATGCACAGAAACAGAAAAACAGGGACACAGCTCCAGACTCATTCAGAGCTTCATTTCTGTGCAAAAAATTAACAGTCAAATTGCTAAAAAGAAATATGACGCAGTGACTAAGGAAGAAGGGCAAATGACCTGCCCGAGTCGTGATCTGCATAATTAAATAGCAAGAAATGGAAGACGGATTTTAAATTTCCCAGACTTTTCTTCGGCTTTGTGCCTGCCACTGCGGAAGGACGTGACTAGCGTTGCCTGCAGTCCAGAGTTCACGGCGCCGGAGCTAATTCAAGAGAATCTCGAACTAGTTGGACCGGAGGCAGTTTCTTGGGCATTGTGCGTCAATTTT